TAGAGGCTGCAGTGAGCCAAAATCATCCACTGCACTCCACCCTAGGCAATCGAGTGAGACCCTGTCCTCAAAAATAAATAAATAAATAAAAATAATAAAAAACAAAAGAATGTTATTCCAATCCCATTTATCTACACATTAGGATGAATTGCTTCCTTTATTTCTATTATTATATATAAATAATATATAATAAATATGTTTATTATATATAAAATAATATTTTTATATATTATATATTTTAATATATATTATTTTTTGACTTATACTCCAAGTTCTATTCTTCCTTTATTTCGATTCCTATTTTTTGTGATCTTTACTAAATAAACCATTTATGCATTACTTTTTTTTTTTTTGAGACGGAGTCTCACTCTGTCACCCAGGCTGGAATGCAGTGGCGCAATCTTTTTTTTTTCTTTTTTTTTTGAGACGGTAGTCTCGCCTGTGTCTCCCAGGCTGGAGTGCAGTGGCGTGATCTCGGCTCACTGCAAGCTCCGCCTCCCGGGTTCCCGCCATTCTCCCGCCTCAGCCTCCCAAGTAGCTGAGACTACAGGCGGCCCGCCACCACGCCCGGCTTGTTTTTTGTATTTTTAGTAGAGACGGGTTTCACCATGGTAGCCAGGATAGTCTCTGATCTCCTGACCTTGTGATCCACCGCCTCGGCCTCCCAAGTGCTGGATTACAGGCTTGAGCCACCGCCGCCCGGCCAGTGGCGCAATCTTGACTCACACAACCTCTGTCTCGGGTTCAAGTGATTCTCCTGGCCTCAGCCTCCCGAGTAGCTGGGATTACGCGGTGGCTCCCACATGCCTGCTAAATTTTGTAGTTTTAGTAGAGATGGGGTTTCACCATGTTAGTCAGGCTGCGTCTCAAACTCCTGACCTCATGATTCACCTGCCTCAGCCTCCCAAAGTGTTGGGATTATGGGGGGTGTGAGCCACCGTGCCTGGCCTATTGCATATCCTTTTTTAAAGTGATTTGTTAATGGATATTTAATCAACCAATACCTTGGTCCTAAAATTGCTGCAGGTTTTTATAGATTGGCTCATGAAACATTTTTCTCTTTTTTGTTTTTTTTGGAGGACAGAGGTCTCCGCTCTGTTGCCCAGGCTGGAGTGCAGTGGCATGGGATTCGCGCTCACCGCAACCTCTGCCTCCCAGGTCCAGATGATTCTCCTGCCTCCACCTCCAAGTACCTTGGGACTACAGGCCACACACCACCACACCTGGCTAGTTTTTTATTTTTAGTAGAGACGGGGTTTCACCATGTTGGCCAGTGCTGGTCTCGAACTCCTGACCTCAGGTGATCCACCGCCTCAGCCTCCAAAGTGCTGGGATTACAGGCGTGAGCCACCATTGCCCAGCCCTGGCTAACTTTTTATATTTTTAGTAAAGACCGGGTTTCACTGTGTTGCTGCCAGGGCTGGTCTTGAACCCCCTGAGCTCAGCTCAGGCAATCCGCCCGCCTTGGCCTGCCAAGTGCTAGGATTACAAGCCGGGAGCCACTGTGCCCCTATTCTCCTTTTTTTTTTTTTTTTTTTGACACAGGGTCTCTGTTGCCCAGGCTGGAGTACAGTGGCACAAACATTGCTCACTGCAGCCTCAACATCCTTGGGCTCAGGTGATCTTTTCATTCAGCCTTCCAAGTAGCTTGAGACTACAGGCACGTGCCACCATGCCTGGTTAATTTTTCTTTCTCTTTTTTTTCTGTATTTTTTATAGAGACAGGGTTTCACCACGTTGCCTACCTAGGCTGGTCTCGAACTCCTGAGCTCAACCAATTCACCTGCCTGGCCTCCCAAAGTCCTGGGATTACAGGCCTGAGCCACCACGTCAGGCCAAAACATTTATTTCTAATCACCTTGTGTTTTGCCTTTCTTTACTATAGATGTTGGAAAAGAAAATGCTAAAATTTCCAGGTTCCCTTACAGCTAGAGATGACTATATAAAACAATCTTGTTCAATGAGATGTAGGTGAATATCTGCTGTGAGATCTTCCCTTGCCAGGTAAAAAGAAAAAGTCTCAAGAGGAGAAAGCCCTTTGTCTTGGCTCTTTTGCTTTCTCTCTGATTCAAAACCAGGCCGGAAGAATTGAAGATGGCTTTAATAAGGAGGCGGGTCCGCAGCGTGCGCCTCAAGGCCTGCTCAAACCCAGCCACTTTGGGAGGCCAGCAGACCGGCACGGCGGGAGTCACAGGGTCAGGAAAACGCAGGGATCGGAGACCAATCCTGGCCTAACACAATGAACCCCCCGTCTCTTTACTAAAAATACAAAAAACTAGCCCGGGCGTGGTGGCGGGCCGCTGTTACAGTCCCAGCTACATTGGGAGCTGAGGCAGGAGAATGGCGGGAACCCGGGAGGCGGAGGCTTGCCCAGTGGAGCCGAGAACGCCGCCACTGCCCACTGCCAGCCTGGCGCCGACAGGAGCGCAGGACTCCTGCCTCAAAAAAAAAAAAAAAAAAAAAAAGATGGTTTAATAAGGAGACTGTTTACAAAGCTGTGGGCAGGGTATAGGGAGACCACAAGGGATAGAGCAATGCCCCAAGGTGAATAACAGAAAAGAGGCTGATACTGCTATAGGCCTGAAGGCTGAGGGGAGTCACTGAAAACTAGGAGACAGCTGTGTGTGTGTGTTGGAGGAGGCGGCTGCCTTGAGAGGTGCTGTGACCTTCAATGAGGGACAGAGACACTCTCCTCCCTCCATTGAATCTCCTGTGTGTGCTTTCTTTTGGTTGAGATTCACTGAAAGCCAGGAGACAAGGCCTGCCTCCTGGACACAAATCTGGGTGGAAAAGAATGGAGAGTTCATCTCGACGGTACAAGCAGTATAAAAGGCATCTGTTTTCTTTCTTTCTTTCCTTTCTTTTTTTTTTTTTTTTTTTGTGATGGAGTCCTGCTCTGTTGCCTGGGCTGGAGTGCAGTGGCATGATCTCGGCTCACTGCAAGCTTCACCTCCCAGGTTCACGCCATTCTCCTGCCTCAGTCTTCCAAGTAGCTGGGACTACAGGTGCCTGCCACCATGCCTGGCTAATTTTTTGTATTTTTAGTAGAGTTGGGGTTTCACCGTGTTAGCCAGGATGGTCTCGATCTCCTGACCTCGTGATCCACCTGTGTCGGCCTTCCAAAGTGCTGGGATTACAGGCATGAGCCACCGTGCCCGGCCTATTTCTGTATCCTAGTGTGCAACACATAGTAAGAGTGCCTGGCACAAAGTAGAATATCTTTTTTTTTTTTTTTTAGACAGAGTCTCACTCTGTTGCCCAGGCTGGAGTGCAGAGTGCAATGGTGTGATCCTGGCTCACTGCAACCTCTGCCTCCCATGTTCAAACGATTCTCCTGCCTCAGCCTCCCAAGTAGCTGGAATTACAGGCGCGCACCATCACACCCAGCTAATTTTTGTATTTTTAGTAGAGACGGGGTTTCACTATGTTGACCAGGCTGGTCTCGAACTCCTGACCTCAAGAGATCTGCCTGCCTCAGTCTCCCAAAGTGCTGGGATTACAGGCATGAGCCAGCACGCCCGGCCTACGGCTTTTGTGAACATTTAATCAGATAACAATAAAATGCACCTGGCACATAGTATAGTAGAACTCTCTATAAATCTAGGTGATTTCCTTCCTTTCTTCCCTCCTCTACCAATCCTTCTGCAAGTCATTTTAACCTTAGCTTCAGAATATCCTGAATTCTCAACTTCATTCAACATGATCACTCTAGCCACGCCACTCTCATCTGGACTACAGGAACAGTTTCTTCGCCAATCTCCCTGCTTCCTCTTGCTCCTGTTCCCCTCAAACCCCAATCCATTCACCAAAGCCAGGGAGATTTTTTAGAAAGACAATGTAGATCATGTCATGCCCCAGCTTAAATACCTTCAAGTACTTAGAATTAGCCCAGACTTCTTTATGTGGCCTGGCCTCTGCCATTCTCTTAGACTTCATCTGCTTTAGGCTAACTGGCTTTCTTTTTTTCTTCCCCTCTTCCTGGAATTTACTGAATTTATTTCCATCTTAACGCCTTAGCATTGGTGGATTCTTCTTTTGAAATCTGCTAACTGGTTCCTTCAGATCTTAGTTTAAATGGGGTTTCCTATGGGAGAAAGTATTACTAATCTAAAGTGGTCATCTCAGCCAGGCTCGGTGGCTCACGCCTATAATCCCAGCACTTTGGGAGGCCAGGCCGGGTGGGTCACTTGAGGCCAGGCGTTCGAGACTAGCCTGGGCAACATAGCAAAACCCCGTCTCTCCTCAAAACACAAAATTAGCCAGTCTCATAACCCTGTCTCAAAATAAATAAATAAATAAAAATTAAAAATGCTGTATTGTCTTTAAAAAATAAAGTGGTCATCTTTTATCACACCATCTTCTATAGCACTTAACGCTATCTGATATCTCCTTGTTGTATGTTTGTTTCTCCCTTCATAAGAGCAGACACATTGTCTTTCATGTCCATGTTCTGACCCCAAAGCTGGAGCAATGCCTGAAACACATAGTATATGTTCAGTATTTGTTGAAAAATGAATGTTTGAGGATCATGAGGATGAAGAAGAAACCTCAGACTACTTGATCATAAATTCTAGCAATTTCCGCAAGAACAAGAATTGCAGTTTGAAATCAGATGCTGGAGGACTGGAAACCTTGATAGGTCTGGGGCTGAAGGCTGGGGGAAGCAGAGGGAATATATTGGAACTTCGGCCCTTTTCTTCGTATCTAAGGACCCCAGAGACCATGCAAAGGGCTAGAATCTTATGGCCAGAAACCACACAACGGGTATTTTCCATCCATAATTCTTCGCAGCCACTTCAGCTAGGCTGCAAATGCGCAAACGCCTTTAGGACCCCGGGTTCCTTTCTGTTTCTTTATGAATGAACCGGCTCCAGTCTGCGCACGCGCAGCTCTCAGTACTCCCGCTCCACGTGAGGCCCACCCTTCCCTCCTGCTGGCGGCACCGCCCTTACCCATTCTAATGGACCAATGGCGAGCGGCCTGAGGGGCGGAGCCCGGCGCGGCGCGGCACAGTAGTTCCCCCGGCGCCGGGCTCCCTCGCGTTAGACGTGCTGTGTTGTGATCACGTGGGCAGCTCCGGGCGCGGCGCTTGTTTTGGTTTCCCTCTAAGTTGCCCACGGCAGCTTCTGGGTGAGCGACTTTCCTGCACCTCCCCACACCCTGACCTCGTCTTCGGGCTCTCTCAGCCCGCAGTTCCGCAAGCCCCTGGGGCGGGCTCCTGCCATGCCGCTGGTCCGTTACAGGAAGGTGGTCATCCTCGGATACCGCTCTGTAGGTGAGTCTCCGCCCTGCAGAACTCGGACGCGCAGCAGCTTTGTAGCCAGAAGAGGCGCGCTGCCGTGGGAACGCGACCCAGGGAGGAATGGTGACATCGTAAGAATGGGGTTGTAGAGCGAGGATTGGAAGAGTGGAGGAATAAAGGTTGGTGGTGTGTGGAGGCTGCAGGAAGCGCAAGCACTTAAGGCTCAATGAGGACCTGGCTGCGGTAATCTCAGAGTGGTCCCAGCGTTACTTTGGGGATAGGGGTGGGGTCACAATTTGAAAACCGGGATGCGGTCTCCGTGGGGACAGATAGTCGCAGGTGTCCTGGGGCGGGGCGGACTCGATCCTGGGGAATCTTGGATATTCCTGCGGGTAGGATGGGGTGGGGAAGGCGGCGGGAAAGGCTTCCTGCTGCGCTTCTGAATGCATCCGGTACCCAAGTGCGGAGACCCCGGGCGAAAAGACGGTGAGGGTAGACACAAGGGATAGGATTGCTTGAGGCACTCACAGACTGTGGTGTTAATTTGGGGTACCCTTTGGTCCTGGGCCACAGTCCGAAAGGACAGAGGATGTGAATGTGGATGATTTGGATACAGCTGCCACACTGCTCCCCACAGGGAAGACATCTTTGGCACATCAATTTGTGGAAGGCGAGTTCTCGGAAGGCTACGATCCTACAGTGGAGAATAGTGAGTAGACTTCTCCCCTAGTGTGCTGGTGATGCGACCCGGAGGGATTGGATAGCCCACCCAACTCCCTAATGTATTTCTCTGGTGCCAAGGGGCTGATTTATTTACACATTACATCTAATTTCTTCTTCAGCAATCCTGTTCGATGGATGGCTAGAGTATGGATTTTGCAGGATACTGAGTCTGGGATAGTTTAGATGTAGACATTAAGAACCTTAGTGTGTCTTTCCAGTTACCTGGATAACTCCCTGGAGCTGATCTATCTGTGTCAACCCCAAGGTTAAGAATGTAAGGGGAGGCCAGGCGCAGTGGCTCACGCCTGTAATCCCAGCACTTTGGGAAGCTAAGGCGGGCGGATCGATTGAGGTCAGGATTTTGAGACCAGCCTGGCCAACATGGTGAAACCTCATCGCTACTAAAAATACCAAAATTAGCTGAGCATGGTGGCACACACCTGTAATCCGAGCTACTAAGGAGGCTGAGGTAGGAGAATCGCTTGAACGCAGCAGGCAAATGTTGCAGTGAGCAAAGATTGTGACACTGCACACCAGCCTGGGTGTCAGGATGAGACTGTCTCAAAAAAAAAAAAAAAAAAAAAGGCCAGGCACCATGGCTCATGCCTGTAATCCCAGCTCATTGGGAGGCCAAGGCAGGTGGATCACCTGAGATCAAGAGTTCAAAACCAGCCTGGCCAACTGGTGAAACCCTGTATCTACTAAAAATACAAACAATTAGCTGGACATGGTGATGGATATCTGTAGTCCCATCCACTCAGGTGGCTGAGGCAGGAGAATTGCTTGAACCCAGGAGGCGGAGGTTGCAGTGAGCTGAGATGGCGCCACTGTGCTCTAGCCTGGGCAACAAGAGCGAAACAACGTCTCAAAAAAAAAAAAAAAAAAAAAAAGAGAATAAAAAGAATGTAAGCAGGGGGAAGGGAGTGGGAGGGATGAAGATAAATTGATCAATAGGTACAGATATATAGTTTGATAGAAGAAGTAAGACTTAGTAGATCAGTAGGGTGACTATAGCTTACAATAAGCTATTTTACATTTCAAAATAGCTATAAGAGAAGAATTCAAATGGTTCTAGCATAAAGAAAACACAAATATTTAAGGTGATGAATATTGCAGATATACTTACAAATTATATGAATGTATTATCACGTGTACCCTGAAACTTGGTGCATCTATTATTCATCAATAAAACAAAAGTAATTATTTTTCTTTTCTTTTTGAGACAGGGTCTCACTCTGTCACTCAGGATGGAGTGCAGTGCCGCAATCTCAGCTCACTGCAACCTCCACCTCCTGGGTTCAAGCAATTCTCATGCTTCAGCCTCCTGAGTAGCTGGGACTACAGGCATGCACCACCATGCCCAGCTAATGTTTTGTATTTTTAGTAGAGACAGGGTTTAACCATGTTGGCCAGGCTGGTCTCGAACTCTTGGTATTAAGTGATCCGCCCACCTTGGCCTCCCAAAGTGCTGGGATTACAGGTGTCAGCCACTGAGCCCAACCAACAATCTACTTTAAAAAAAAGCTGCCAAAAAAAAAAAAAAAAAAAAAAGAAGGTAAGACAGCCAGGTGCAGAGGTGCATACCTATAGTTCCAGCTACTTGGGAGGTTGAGGTGAGAGGATCGCTTGAGCCCAGGACTTCCAGGCTATAGGGTGCTAAGAGTGCACCTGTGAATAGCCACTGCTCTACAGCCTGGGCAACATAGCAAGACTTCATCTCAAAAAAAAAAATATATATATAATTATCCGGGTGCAGTGGCAGGCGCCTATAATCCCAGCTACTCGGGAGGCTGAGGCAGGAGAATCGCTTGAACCCAGGTGGCAGAGGTTGCAGTGAGCCGAGATCGAGCCACTGCACTCCAGCTTGGGCAATAGGTGAGACTCTGTCTCAAAAAAAAAAAAAAAGTCAGGGGACATACATTGCTGGCCCTATAAGGCACCTCACAGTCAAGTTTTCTTTTCTTTTCAGCTTACAGCAAGATAGTGACTCTTGGCAAAGATGAGTTTCACCTACACCTGGTGGACACAGCAGGGCAGGTACCAGTTGGGGTATGGTATCCAAAAGTGGCAGTTCAGCCCTCAGAGATGAAGTCTGGTAGTCTTTGTGGCTCATCTGTAAAGTAGTATTAAAACCATTTTACCTGTTAAGAGTATGCAGGGCTCATTGGAGCTGCTCCATAAATACTTGTTGAAGTGACTATAGTAGGGCGTGCCCCAGGGAGGGTCACCTGGATGTTGTCCCACCAACCTTTGCCATCTGAGTGGTTTGGATCTAGGTACTGATGTTTCCATTTCTTGACAGGATGAGTACAGCATTCTGCCCTATTCATTCATCATTGGAGTCCATGGTTATGTGCTTGTGTATTCTGTCACCTCTCTACATAGGTAAGTGACCAAGGTTGTGAGTGTGGGACTTGGGAAGACCTGAGGACTGTCTCATAAAGTTATAGCTCCAATTCTTGTGTTTAAAGCTTCCAAGTCATTGAGAGTCTGTACCAAAAGCTACACGAAGGCCATGGGAAAACCCGGTAAGTGGCCTTGGGGGATAGGGACATAGTGTGGGCATGAGGGAGTAGGAGAGAGCAGAGGGGAGAATTGTCAAGTTAGAGAGGCTCGGATATAGATCCTGCCTGGTCTGATAAGGAGTCGTCCAGCCTTGATATAAGGAGTTGGGGAATGAGGGGATTCTGAAATAACTGCTGTTTCCTCACAGGGTGCCAGTGGTTCTAGTTGGGAACAAGGCAGATCTCTCTCCAGAGAGGTATGTAAATCTCTGCTACTTAGAGGAAAAGGAAGTGAAATGGACTGGGAATCAGTCAGGCTCTCATCCTGGCTCTGCCACTGACTCAAACAAGTCATTTCACCTCTCTTTGTCTCTAACCTGAAGCTTAAGGAAGATAATACTTCTATCTTAAAAGCCACGATTTCATATTTCAAGCCTCAGTCCTAGATTCACCCATTGTTCCTTTGTTTACCTATATTTTCTCCTTCCACAGCCCTCCTCCCAAAACTTGGGGAAATGGCGTGGGTCAGAGGAAGTCTTTTTCTTCCTTCTTTTTTTTGAGATGAAGTCTTGTTCTGTTGCCCAGACTAGAGTGCAGTGGCGTGATCTCGGCTCACTGCAACCTCTGCCACCTGGGTTCAAGCGATTCTCCTGCCTCAGCTTCCCGAGTAGCTGGTACTACAGGCGCATGCCACCACGCCCGGCTAATTTTTTGTATTTTTAGTAGAGACGGGGTTTCACTATGTTAGCCAGGATGGTCTTGATCTCCTGACCTTGTGATCCACCCGCCTAGGCCTCCCAAAGTGTTGGGATTACAGGCATGAGTCACCGCGCACAGCCCATTTTCTTTTTAATAGAGATGGTATTTCACTGTGTTGCCAAGGCTGGTCTTGAACTCCTGAGCTCAAGTGATCCACCACCTCGGCCTCCCAAAGTGCTGCATTACAGGCATGAGCCACTAAGCCTGGCCAGGAAACCTTGATTCTGAAGATTTTTCAGAGCACTTACCAACATTTCTATCCTCCATCTTTATGTCCCAAATTTGCTTCCAGAGAGGTACAGGCAGTTGAAGGGAAGAAGCTGGCAGAGTCCTGGGGTGCGACATTTATGGAGTCATCTGCTCGAGAGAATCAGGTGCTCGGCCCGAAGACTAGAAGGGTGGTGGTGGTAGCCGTGTTTTCCTTATTGTACTGCTTGGTGGGAATGTTGCAGGAATGGAGCTTTCACCCCAGAGCTGGGTGGTATTGGCACTGAACTGACTTTTGCCCTGAATCCTCTCCCCTTATAGCTGACTCAAGGCATCTTCACCAAAGTCATCCAGGAGATTGCCCGTGTGGAGAATTCCTATGGGCAAGAGCGTCGCTGCCATCTCATGTGAGCCCTTGGGTGTGGTGTAACTGCCTTGTTTCTGCCTCTGGCACTTGCCATGTTCCAGTAGGGGGTCAGACCCTCAGGACTTCACGGGTATGGTTGCCAGCTGTGTTCCTGACCCCTGGACACACAGTGTGGCATCCTCATGTTTGCACACTTTCCCCAGGCTCTAGTGGCCTGGATGTCAATGTTTACAAAGGGGCAAGGACCTCTCATGGACACTGGCCTCTAGCCCTCTGTTTTTGCTAGATGAATTCTGTTATAACCTGTGGGGTCAGGATATGAGTCCTGGGCATTATTTATCCAGGACCCATCCTCTTGGGTGAGTTTTGGGTGTTGGCTGGGTAAGGGGAGCCAGGGACTTCTGAAATAGAGCTGGCTCCCTGGGGTGACAATGTATATATGCAAATAAACTGAGAAATCTTTTGTTGTTGACTTCTTTTTCCTGTGTGTGTGTGAGACGGAGTTTCACTCTGTTGCCCAGGCTGGAGTGGTACAGTGCTGCGATCTCAGCTTGCTGCAACCTCCGCCTGCCAGGTTCAAGCAGTTCTCCTGCCTCAGTCTCCCACAGGCACCCGCCACCACGCCTGGCTATTTTTAGTAGAGATGGGGTTTCACCATGTTGGCCAGGATGGTCTCGAACTCCTGACCTTAAGTGATCCGTCCACCTCAGCCTCCCAAAGTGCTGGGATTATAGGCGTGAACCACTACTCCCGGCCTTATTGTTGACATCTGTGTATCTAGGGAGAGCTCAGAGCCAGTATCTCTTTTTCCAAGGAGTCATGGCTGTGGTCTTTGGTGGGAAATCTTTCCTCCTACCTTGTTCCTATTCCTTATTCCTCACTTATTAACGACCATTATCCTAACTTGCCTTTCCTACCTTTCTATTCTGCTGGGTTCCTCATATACTGAGTCCAGTTGGCTGCCACTCCCGTCCAAGTTTTGTAGCCTTTCAAGATCCCCTTAATTACAGAAACACCACCCTCTAGTGGCCAGATGCAACATGCTGACCTAGCTGTCTTCCTGGGGCCTCAGCATTTGCTTGGACTCAAAGCATACAGGGTTTCGGGAGAAGGAAGCCCCTCATTCCTAATGATGTAAGAATTGAGAGAAGTGTAGAGGCAGAGAGACTGAAGTGTTGTGAAGACTTTGACTTCCCAAGAGTGTTGAGTAAAGTAAGAAATAATGCATCTGGTGCCTATCAGTCCCCCCGGCCCTCCATGTCCCCAGTGTCTTTCATTAAAATGGCCGTCCTTTGCTCGTTTCATACCTTTAATCTTTTTGTACTTTTCACACCTTTGGTGGTCTACTTTTTTCAGGTGTCAAAGGCTATTGGTTCTGCTTTTATGGACCTACCACCTCAGTAGGATTGATATTTCAGCTAGGAAAGTTTGGTCCTGTTTGCCTCCGCTTTTCTTGATCCCCACCCTGCCACCCGCATGATTGCCTAACTAGTCTAATACCTCCTCCAAGGACGTGTAAGGGTTACTTTAATGGTAGATCTTCACAGGGAAGGTACAGACCTCTTCTGACAACTGGGGGAGCCCAAGGTACCTGTCAATGTACTTACTTGGGAAGGATTGACAGAACCTAGATGTGATTTTTAGCTGTGACTTTGTCAGTGCCTGGCTCCAGGCTTACAGTGGGGATATGGCTTGTCATGCTGATTTTCAAAAGTCCTGACAGCTGCTTTTGCTTTTCTGATCCAGAATCTAAAAAGAAATAAGGGCTGCTAGAAGAAACATACTCCAAACAACAATCTCACTGGCTTAGGAGGTTCTGGGAGGTCCCTAACCTCTCTCCTTATACTAAAATTAAGTCCTTTTGCACATCTGACCTGTGATACTCATTACAGGGGCCTACTTTCCTGCTGCCATTTTCACGAGGTCTGGGGTAGACTTAGAAACATGTGAAGTTTTCTAGTTTATCAATAATCTCAAGGCGTGGGGACAGTAGTGATAGCGTTAATAGCTCCTCCACTTAGCTGTGTGGCCTTGGGCAGTCACTTAACCTCTCAGCGCCTCCATTTCTCATTTATGAAGAGTGGCTAAGTGTGCTTCATAGAGTTGAGGTGAAAATTAAATGAGGTAATAAATGCAAAGCTTACTACAGTTCTTCACACATAGTAAGTCCTTAAGAAATAGTGGGAGGCAGCCGGGCGCACCTGTAATCCCAGCACTTTGGGAGACCAAGGTGGGTGGATAACCTGAAGTCAGGAGTTTGAGACCAGCCTGGCCAACGTGGTGAAACCCCATCTCTACTAAAAATAAATTAGCTGGGTGTGATGGTGGGCTCCTGTAATCCCAGTTACTAGGGAGGCTGAGGCAGGAGAATCGCTTGAACCCGGGAGGCGGAGGTTGCAGTGAGCTAAGATCACGCCATTTCACTCCAACGTGGGAGACAAGAGCGAAACTCTGTCTCAAAAAAAAAAAAAAAAAAAAAAAAAACCCGAAATAGTGGGTGGCTATCTGTGTTATTACTGGAGGTTTTTCTGGTGAGGGTCTGCCTCTCCCTGCCTCTGGGTGCAAACCTGGGAGGGGCCTTCCATTTTCCAACTTGTTTCTTGGTTAACTTATTCTATTGTAACCAAAAGAGGTGTTCGATCACTGCTGGAGCTTTTTTGCTTAAATATGTGTGAATGGTCAGTGCAGAAAGCATGATGCCAATGTGTGGCTGGAGTAGGACAAATCTAGTCCTGATCCCTCCTATGACTCTGACCAGTAGGGATTAAGGTCTCCTGCACTGTCGAATATAAAAGCATCAAGTCACATGTGGCTATTTAATTTCATTAAAATAAAAAGTTCCTTACTTGTACCACCTGCATTTCGAAGTGCTCGAGAGCTCATGTGGTTAATGGCTACCATATTAGATAGTGTAGATTTAATCCATTTCTCTCACTGTAGAAAAGTTCTGTTGGGGCCGGGCGCGGTGGCTCATGCCTGTAATCCCAGCACTTTGGGAGACCAGGGCGAGCGGATCACGAGTTCAAGACCAGGCTGGCCAACATAGTGAAACCCTGTCTCTACTAAAAATACAAAAAAGTAGTCGGGTCTGGTGGTGTGCGCCTGTAATCTCAGCTACTAGGGAGGCTGAGGCAGGAGAATCGCCTGAACCCGGGAGGCAGAGGTTGCAGTGAGCCGAGATCGCACCATTGCACTCCAACCCGGACGACAGTGCAAGACTCGGTCTCAAGAAAAAAAAAATTCTGTTGGATAGCACCGTAAACCCTTTCCCCACAAAGCTGGCATTGGATCGAATCGGCCTGCCTCTTTCTCCACATCTTCCTTTAAAAAACTGTAGTATTATTTGTAATCCTAGGAAAAACGTGGCCTTTGGTTTGAATAATGGCTCAACTTCTGACTAGATGTATTTCTGTGGGCAATCTTACCTATTGTAGCCTTAATCTTCATCTGTCATATGGAGATAATTCCATGTAACTCATAATGAAGGTGAGGAATAACTAAGAATATAGAAAGTATCTGGACATAGTTAATTTGTCTCCTTTTGTCCACCCCATATGTGCAGTTGATGCAGAAGAGGCATTCCAATCCTTTCTCATCCAGACTTATGGTGGGGGGGTGGTGCCTGCAAAGAGTATGTTTTGCGATCTTGTCTAGAACAGTACTCCGGCCAGGTAGCAGCGAGGCTACTTCAGTTTACTAAAAAAGGGACAGGGGTATTGAATATCTGAAAGGGCTGGAGGTGGGAATGGGAGCACCCTGAAAAGGAAGGGAGGCTCTACATTTGTTTCGATGGGGAGGTGTGTGTAGCGACTGTGTGGGCACCGACAGTCCTTCCTCACACGGGGGACTGGGAGCCAGGAGGAACGACTAGGGACCAGTCCAGTTTTCTTCGGGTCCCTAAACGTGGCAAGAACCCACCCTCTGCAGCGCCAGGCGCCGTACCTCACTTTCTCCATTTGCGGACTCCAGTTCCCAGGATGCTAAGCAGCGGCCAATCTCCTGGCTCTTCTTCCATCCCCCTCCCGGGAAAGACTGCCCCTGGCCAAAGCGAGGGGGCAGTTGGAGTTTCAGGGACCAATGACTGCAAGGGTATGGAATTAAAAAGCAGCCGGAGTCCTAGTTTCGCGGCCTGGGCGGTAAATGAAGAGGCTCCAGGGCCGCGGCAGACAGGAGGTGGGCTTCGTTCCCACGTGTCTGCCCGGCTGCCGGCCCGGCGCGGTTGGGGTTAATCCGGAGCGGAAGGATCCCGCAGCGTGTGCGTAGAACTGCAGAGTCACAGCCTTTCCTCCGAGAGGGCGGGATCCCTCCGCCGCTCCGCTCCAACACAAAATAGGGCCGCCTCTTCTCCTTTCTCCCCCTCTCGAGTGGGGTGCCCCGGGCAAAAGGCCCCCCCGGATCTCGCGCCGAAGGCTTCACGAATCTTCACGACCGCTGCCCAGCTCTCGGGCCAGGAAATAGCCCCTTCGCAGGAACCACCCTACCGGCCGAACAGGAGGCGGAGGGGGGGAGGCGGAGCGGCGCCGCGCTGCACTACTTTCCTCTCCGGTTGCAAATGGCTGCCTCGTTCCCCACTTTCCGCTCAGTTTCCTGACCCCCCGGTGCCGGGAGCCGGGGTTGGGCCATGCACCTCTAGGCCCCCTGCGATCACAGTCAGCCGGGGGTCGAGGGGGTGCCACCGACCAAAGCCGGCCAGGCCGGGGGCGGGGCAGCTCCCGAGGCCAGAGGGGAAGGGAGGCGAGCGCAGGGCCTGGAGCGGCCGGAGGGGAGCGGGCAGAGGGCTCGCACCGCCCGCCCCTTCCTCTTCCTCGCCCACCTAGCCTCCTCCCTTCCCCGGGGGGAGCAGAAGGTGGGGGGCTCGAAGCCGCCGAGGGTGAGCGCTCGGGGTCGAGAAGCCCGGCGCTGGGTGTGTGTCAGGTTCAGCCCCGCGGCCCCGCCGGCCCCGCGTCGCCGTAGCTCGCGCGGCCCCGGGCGCCGGCCGGGGCGGGGAGAGGGGCTCGGCGCTCCTGCGAGGGTCTCACGTTCCATCCGGGCCAGGCGCGGGGCGGCGCGGCATTCCTTCCGGGCTGCTGGGGAGGCGCCTCGACGTTCCATCTGGAGAGCCTCGACGTTCCGCCCGAGCCCGGCGCGGGCGGCCGGGGCGCTGGCCGGGCCCTAGGACTAAGAGGCCGCCCGGCGACGCGGATGCGGAGCCTGCTCGCCCAAGATCAAAGCCACCGGTGCTCTCTTTGTGTCCGCTCGGGATTCGCCGCCCTGGGGCTGTCCATGGAAACCTAAACTGCTGGAACCTGAGGCAGAGAACCCCTCTTTGGCTTCTTGCTGTTTTTTGTGGGGGGAGGGTGGCCACTCCGACCTGGATTTACCGTTCTTGGCCCCCCTAAGCCCCCCCGTGCGGGGGGCGGCTGTGATCGCTCTGGCGGTTGGAGGTCGGGGAGCGGCCCGGGCTCTGGCCATGTTCTCGGATGAGGATTTCTGGATCGCCCTGTGAAGAGGTGAGTGAAGTCCGCCCGGCCAGGGCCCAGAAAGGGTTGGACTGGGGGCACAGCCAGATGGACTATCTTAGCCGGGGCTGGCCTTTAGGTTGGAGAAGGGGGTGCCAAAGCTGGGGAGCGTTCCTTTGGCAGGGTCTGTCAAGGGAACCTGAGCCAGTCACCAGGGCAGAACTGAGGCCTGGTATCTTGGGGTGTGCCTCTTTAAAGACTGGGGGTTCAGAGAACCACGGGAGTTTGGGAACCTGGCCAGATAGCCTCTCTGCCTGTTTATTTTTGTGTTGGGGGAGCTCGACTAAAGTAGGACCCAGGCCCTGATGCCAGCACCAATCCCAGGCTGCTGCTGCTCTTCTCAGGGTTCCTTGTGGGCCTTGGGACAGAGCAACTTGGGATGGTGGGGGAGGGTGCCACTGCCAGGTCAGACTTATTATGCCAGTTGGACCTTAAGGTTGTTCCTACCGAGTTGGGCACCCAAAGCAGTCCCTGGAAAACTCAGGGAACCCCCGATCCTTCACCAGGCCTTCTTTCACTGGGCAAAGGGAGAGTGTGTGGAAACTGACTAGTTGTGATGAAGGGGATGGCTGGGGCAAGAAGGAGGCGGGGCTGGGGGCAGCTCTGGCCCTGCTGTTCAACTTTAAACTATCCCTGCCTGGCAAAGTGACCCCAGTGAGGCCTACTGCTGTCTTAGCCTGCTTTGCCTCCCCTCCTCTTGGGATGGATCTAATCTCTAGAGGATTATAGAAGAGGCCGTTGAGATTTGCTCCCTGCGAATGTAGGCTGCAAAAAATGGCTTTTGTCTTTTGCCTTCTCCCGGCCTGGTATGGAGAGCTGGCTGCTGTGAGTCCCTGGCCAGTCCTGCAAGCCCCTCCCAGACCTCTCCAACCCTTTTTTGACCAGGGATTGTTAACTGGTTTTCTGATCCTGTACCAACTGTGCAGAATGGGGTGGCCTGTAGCTCTCTGGAGGAGAAATGGCTTTCTCCTGGAAACCAGTGATTCTACCCCTGGCAGAAGGTATTGGGGAGAACAAGTGTGTATGTGCCTGCAGCTTGAGCCTCAATCCTGTGGGCCTTGCTTGGGCTGGGACTGCCCCTCTCACACCTGTCATGCTGCCCAGCAGGAATTTGGCTGGTGCATTTTGCTCCCTCTATCTGCTCCAACATACATATGCTAGATTTCTTTGAGTCTGGTTTTGAAAAAGAGAAAATAGAGGTTTTGCCTTTTAAAGATTTCTCAAAGGTGAGAGGTGGCACGGGGTAGTGGAGTGAGGTGAGCTGTCAACCCTGCTCTCCAATCCTGCATTCTATGGAGAGTCCCTCCTGTTTGTCCTGAAACAACTTCCTTACGTAGGACTGCACCTTGTTAGCTGTGCCTGCCTTCAAGATGAGCCAGGGACACAGTTCAGAGGGTCTGCAGGGCCAGTGTTCCTTTTGGATCCATCTCGGAGGGCTGACCCAAAATGGGGGTGGGAAGAGGTGTGGTTTGAGTCTCAGGCTGGGAACCAGGAAGTCCTGAGTCCTACTGAAGAGCTGTTCACTCAAGGGCCTGCTGCAGCCTTACACCTCTCCAAGTGTCCATTTCCCCCTTGCCTGGGAAAATGGAGTGAAAGCTGTTGGTCTGGGAGGGAGGCAGGAAGGAGAGTGGGTTGAGATAAATCCCTGTCCTTTTCTTTGCTGTTTTGGACCTCTAAGGTATAGGACTGAGGGGTGCCAGCACAGTTTTACTCCCTACATCTGTACCTACTGTCTGGGATCTCTAGTTCTGTGGAGGAAGCCTGGCGAGACACTAGTCCAGTTTAGATCCAGGGAAAAAATCCTTGGTGTGTATGTGTGTGGGTTTACTGACTGTGAATGATGGGACTGGGTAACCTGGGGTCTTTGTTTAGATGCGTTCAGGGGCCTGTTAACTGGGAATCAGCATTGGGATCCCGGTGCTGGACTTCAGGGCTGGGGAAATAGGGACTGAGGGCTCAGGCTTTTTGGAGGTGCCCCCTAGATTATTTTTGGTACAACTTGTATGACATTCTTCTCTTTGCTGCTTAATCTCTCATCTTCCATGGCCCCATCCATGGGCTCTGGCTTTGGAGGATGGTCGTAGTCTGTCTCTCAAGGCCAGATGAAGGTGGTTTCTTTACCTTCTTGAGCAGTACCAGCCTTACCAGCTGAGAGGGCTGAGCTTGGGGGAGAGCTGAGGAATTTGCCCCTCTGGCCTTGTGTGAGGCAGCTCTCCTCCTACCCACTGTATTATCATTGTTGCCTTTTACTTCTTGATGTTTGTGACTCTTTTGGCCTCAACTTTGAGAGCAGAGCGGGTAGAGGATCTTTGGGGGTATGTAGTGGTAAGATATAGTAAGATGCAAACAATTAGAAAACTTTAAGAGCCCCTTGGACGTTCTGGGTGTGGTCAGGCCTTGAATGACTGAATGGAAGAGGGGCCTGGCTGCTGCCCTCACCTCCGTCTCCCACGTCCCATGGTAGCTTCTAAGGACTCCTTGAAGTTCTGGAGCAGCTTTTCTATGAGCCGGCCAGATGACCACCCTGCTTTCCTTTCAGGTGTGGTTGTGTGGCAGGTTTGGGAAAGAGAGATGGCTTGGGAATGGAGATGATGTGTATCAGGTGATGCTTTACTTTATCCAGTAGGTTCTGAGAGTGTTAGGGGAAAAAGGAATTTTCTTTCCTGTGACATGTCTCCAGAGGGGCATAGCCAGTATCTGGAAATAAAGGGTGAGTTCAGAGCAGGAGGAGTGATATTGTAGTTCTTAGGGAATTGATTTACTGATTTGGGGCACCTTTGAGGGTTCCCCCTTGTCTTGTTTGTCCCAGTCATTCAACCCTAAGTGGCTGACTGGGGTATTTGCCTTCCAGTTTGGGAGGAGAGGCTGTCCTTGCTAAGGGTGGTGTGGTCACTCTGGTTAGCCAAGAAGAGTGGAAAAGGTGAGAGATTAATTTATCAAACTTTTATTGTTTAGAGTTCTGTTTTAGGGATTTCCCCCACCTCACCACCACTTTCTTTAGGAACACTGTATTCTTCTCTGATTAAGAGAAAGGATTTATACTTCCCACTACAAGCTGCTGGCACTTATCCCTTTCTTCCTCCTCCTATAGGGTCCCTTTCCTATTCCTCATGTCTGTAATTATTGTTCTTCTCCCCCCGCCCCCCCCCCCGGCTGTGCTTAATTCCCTCTAAGGTCTAGGAAAATAATACCCAAAGGTGTAGGTCTCAACTTTTTTAGGTATAACTTTAGTGTGTTTCATTAGGCTCTGATACAGGCATGCATTTCTTAGAAGGGACAAGGGACCGTTATTCCCCACCCCCATGTATGTGTGTGGAAACCCTGCTTGAGGGAAGAGGAAGGAAGCTACTCGGCTCTGCTGTGCTATGTCCTGCCCTGTTTAGAACTCCTCTGAGTGACTGTATGCTTCCTGAGACTACAATTCCCAGCATGCTTAGCCTCAGGCCTGGCTACACATGCTCAGTAACTCTCAAGGTCCACTTCTGTTAACTACTAGGGATATCTGAAGAGGAAGGGCAGTTGGTGTTGCTAAGGGCAATGACCTGAGACCTTCAGGCTGGATGAGACCCTGAGCTCAGTTAGGGCACGGGCCAGGGGTTCGTCTGAGCTGGATTTAGGTTGGAAGTGGGTGGAAATTAGGGAGTTTCTTCTTTTGTGATGGTGATGTCCTCGTAGAAACAAGTGGCGGTGGGGGAGATCCATCCATAGCTAGGCTATAGTTCTAGTAGTGTGTTCCATCTCTTGCAGTGCCTCAGACTCTGCCTCTGGGAGAGGGATTTTTGCTGGACTCAGGCTTCCTGGGTCATGACTACCCCTGGGTTGGCACGGACTGGCCTCTAGAATGGCAGCTTACTTGAGACTTGAAGAAAAGGTGTGGGAATAGGGCTCACCAAAAGCCAAAAACCCAGAGGCAAGGCAAACGGCAGTATTAGATATAAATGGATATGCTTCTAGTTGGATGCTATGGCCCCAGGAACTCTTACAGAGGAAGTGGGAAAGTCAAATGGATCCCCTGAGAATCTCTCCAGAGTGCGAGAAGAGGGTATGTGTTTATCTGGGGAGGAAGTGACCCTACAGGTTAGGGAGAATGACTTTCTTGTCAGTATAGGAGTTTGTAGTATGGCTTGCTCTGATGTCTGGAGGGTCTGGATGCCTTCTTTCCAGGATTCTGGGAGAAGTGCTTCTTGGGAAGACTTACTAGGCATATAGATCTCTTTCTTGGCACCAACAGGTCTCCCCGAGAGGGCCCTGCCCATTCGGAGAGAGGGATGGACAGCCAGAAGCTGCCTGGTGAGGATAAAGATTCAGAACCGGCAGGTGAGTAGGACAAATTCTTTGTTTGCTTTTAGATTTCACAGGCAACCTTACATTTCTGGTCCTGGCCCAAGGACGTGAGCTAAGTCTATGCAGCAGATAAGTAATGGAACAACTTTGTTCTTTGGGACAACAGTTGAAATATCATCACTCTGATCCACTCAGGTTTTGGATAATCTCATGTATCTGGTGAGTGGACTTTGTATTAAATAGGGATGATGACTGACACATGCTGTTTGTCTGTTTATTCAGCTGATGGACCTGCAGCTTCTGAGGACCCAAGTGCCACTGAGTCAGACCTGCCTAACCCACATGTGGGAGAGGTCTCTGTCCCTAGTTCTGGGAGTCCCAGTCTTCAGGAGACTCCTCAGGACTGCAGGTAACTTGTTTGAGGGCACATAAGGATTTGATTTGAGAGTCTAGGGCTTTCAAGGAAGAGAAGTTAGGAAAATGAGTGTCGGGGAAGCATGGGCATGCCAAATCATGGGGTTGCTGGGGGCCTGGCGTGGTACTGATGCTTGTGTGTCCACAGTGGGGGTCCAGTGCGGCGTTGTGCTCTCTGTAACTGCGGGGAGCCCAGTCTGCATGGGCAGCGGGAGCTACGGCGCTTTGAGTTGCCATTTGATTGGCCCCGGTGTCCAGTGGTATCCCCTGGGGGGAGCCCAGGGCCCAATGAGGCAGTGCTACCCAGTGAGGACCTGTCACAGATTGGTTTCCCTGAGGGCCTTACACCTGCCCACCTAGGAGAACCTGGAGGTGAGTGAGGAGAATGGGGCAGCAAATGGGAGAAGGACTGGGTAGTCCTGAGCCAGCGATCCTCTTTCTGTTAACTCTTTCCTTTCTGTTTACCTCTTCCCACCTGTAAAGGGTCCTGCTGGGCTCACCATTGGTGTGCTGCGTGGTCGGCAGGCGTATGGGGGCAGGAGGGCCCAGAACTATGTGGTGTGGACAAGGCCATCTTCTCAGGGATCTCACAGGTGGGGCTGGGGCCAAGGGATTGCATAGGTGAAGGGTAGGGCTGGTGGGCTTCTGAGAGTCAGGGTGGAATGAGAAGGAGTGTGGGTATACTGGGGCAGAGCTAGTGCCTAAACTGTTTCTTTGGGGAGAGCTGGCTGACACTGAGGCTCTTTCTTCACCTTGGCAGCGCTGCTCCCACTGCACCAGGCTCGGTGCCTCCATCCCTTGCCGCTCACCTGGATGTCCACGGCTTTACCACTTCCCCTGCGCGACTGCCAGCGGTTCCTTCCTATCCATGAAAACACTGCAGCTGCTATGCCCAGAGCACAGTGAGGGGGCTGCACATCTGGGTGAGAAGTCCTGATCTTTGGTCATAGGGCAAATGAGAGACCAAGTGTGCCTTGGATTTTTGTACTCTACAGAGCACTGATCAAAGTATAGAATTATATACTGTTGGTCTGCCCCACTAAAATAGGTGTGAACTTTATAAGCACCAGGGGTTTGCCTGTCTCGTTTACCATTGTGTCTCCAGTGCCTAGAACAGCTGGCAGACGTTGGGCAGGCACTCAGTAACTTTGTTATTTGTTCATTCTGTGCCCATGGAGTGCCTGTTTTGTGTACGGCACTGTGCTGAGGCTTACAAGGAATCCATAGCTGACCTGTGGTGTCTCTACCCCCTGCAGAGGAGGCTCGCTGTGCAGTGTGTGAGGGGCCAGGGGAGTTGTGTGACCTGTTCTTCTGTACCAGCTGTGGGCATCACTATCACGGGGCCTGCCTGGACACTGCTCTGACTGCCCGCAAACGTGCTGGCTGGCAGTGCCCTGAATGCAAAGTGTGCCAAGCCTGCAGGTAGGAATGGAAGGGCAGGAGGGAAGTCTTAGGCACAACACAGGTTAGGGTTGAAAATGAGGGCGGTCGGAGAAGACCTGTTAACATGAAAACAACAAAAAAGAAACGAGGGCGGAGAGGACACTGTAATGTTCCCTGTGCCTCTGCAGGAAACCTGGGAATGACTCTAAGATGTTGGTTTGTGAGACGTGTGACAAAGGATACCATACTTTCTGCCTAAAACCACCCATGGAGGAACTGCCTGCTCACTCTTGGAAGTGCAAGGTGAGTGTACCCTGATTCTGCCCTATTGTCCCTAACTCTGCCTCCTACAGCATTCTCTGTCTTGACAAGTGCTGTACTTTTCTTTAGTCTTTGCTGTCTGACCAATGCCTGTTTTGCCCACTCCTTTCCCTTAGGCATGCCGGGTGTGCCGGGCCTGTGGGGCGGGCTCAGCAGAACTGAATCCCAACTCGGAGTGGTTTGAGAACTACTCTCTCTGTCACCGCTGTCACAGAGCCCAGGGAGGTCAGCCTGTCAGCTCTGTTGCTGAGCAGCATACCCCTGTGTGTAGCAGGTAAGTGGTGTGGACTGACTGAGATTGGGCTGGCAGGTTGGAAGGACTGAGTTTGGCAGGGTTCTTCTTAAATTGAGTGGACTTTAAGAGGAGAGCCTTAAGGTGGGCAGTGTCATCCACAGCATTCGTGCCTCGCCCCAGTGCGCTCTCTGGGATTTGTTAGCTGGTGAGAGCCACAGTGCCTGCTCCCCTGTACCCTCTGCAGATTTTCACCCCCAGAGTCTGGCGATACCCCTACTGATGAGCCCGATGCTCTGTACGTTGCATGCCAAGGGCAGCCAAAGGGTGGGCACGTGACCTCTATGCAACCCAAGGAACCGGGGCCCCTGCAATGTGAAGCCAAACCACTAGGTGAGTAGGGTTTGAGGGTCCCTGAAATTCATCCCCTTTTATTCTGTGACAAGAGACAGTTTGTGCATTGCCCCAGACCCTGCACTTCCTGTGGGGTAGATCTGAGCTAGATAGGAGCATCGTGTTGTTGTGTCTGCAGGGAGAGCAGGGGTCCAACTTGAGCCCCAGTTGGAGGCCCCCCTAAATGAGGAGATGCCACTGCTGCCCCCACCTGAGGAGTCACCCCTGTCCCCACCACCTGAGGAATCACCCACATCCCCACCGCCTGAGGCATCACGCCTGTCCCCACCACCTGAGGACTCGCCCGCATCCCCGCTTCCTGAGGCATTGCACCTGTCCCGGCCGCCGGAGGAATCGCCCCTCTCTCCGCCGCCTGAGGAGTCTCCTCTGTCTCCCCCACCTGAATCATCACCTTTTTCTCCACTGGAGGAGTCGCCCTTCTCTCCACTGGAAGAGTCACCCCCGTCTCCTGCACTTGAGACGCCTCTATCCCCACCACCTGAAGCATCGCCCCTGTCCGCACCATTTGAGGAATCTCCCTTGTCCCCGCCACCTGAGGAACTGCCCACTTCCCCGCCACCTGAAGCATCTCGCCTGTCTCCACCGCCTGAGGAGTCACCCATGTCCCCTCCACCTGAAGAGTCACCCATGTCTCCACCACCAGAGGCATCTCGTCTGTTCCCACCATTTGAAGAGTCTCCTCTGTCCCCTCCACCTGAGGAGTCTCCCCTCTCCCCACCACCTGAGGCATCACGCCTGTCCCCACCACCTGAGGACTCGCCTATGTCCCCACCACCTGAAGAATCACCTATGTCCCCACCACCTGAGGTATCGCGCCTGTCCCCGCTGCCTGCGGTGTCACGCCTGTCTCCACCGCCTGAGGAATCTCCCTTGTCCCCACCGCCTGAGGAGTCTCCCACGTCCCCTCCACCTGAGGCTTCACGCCTCTCCCCACCACCTGAGGACTCCCCCACATTCCCACCACCTGAGGACTCCCCCACATCCCCACCACCTGAGAACTCACCCACATCCCCACCACCTGAGGACTCGCTTATGTCCCTGCCGCTGGAGGAGTCACCCCTGTCACCACTACCTGAGGAGTCACAACTCTGCCCCCCATCCGAGGAGCCGCACCTGTCACCCCGGCCTGAGGAACCGCACCTGTCCCCCCGGCCTGAGGAGCCGCACCTATCTCCGCAGCCTGAGGAGCCACACCTGTCCCCCCAGCCTGAGGAGCCATGCCTGTGCGCTGTGCCTGAGGAGCCACACTTGTCCCCCCAGGCTGAGGGACCACATCTGTCCCCTCAGCCTGAGGAATTGCACCTGTCCCCCCAGACTGAGGAGCCACACCTGTCTCCTGTGCCTGAGGAGCCATTTTTGTCCCCCCAGCCTGAGGAATCACACCTGTCCCCCCAGTCTGAGGAACCATGCCTGTCCCCCCGGCCTGAGGAATCACACCTGTCCCCCCAGTCTGAGGAACCATGCCTGTCCCCCCGGCCTGAGGAATCACACCTGTCCCCTCAGCTTGAGGAGCCACCTCTGTCCCCTCGGCCTGAAGAGCACCCCGAGGAGCCAGGCCAATGCCCTGCACCTGAGGAGTTGCCCTTGTTCCCTCCCGCCGGGGAACCATCCTTATCTCCCTTGCTTGGAGAGCCAGCCCTGTCTGAGCCTGGGGAACCACCTCTGTCCCCTCTGCCTGAGGAGCTGCCCTTGTCCCCGTCTGGGGAGCCATCCTTGTCGCCTCAGCTGATGCCACCAGGTAAGGGAAAGTTAGTACCCTCTTACTCTGGAACAGCTGTAACTCTTCATGGCATGTCTGATCTAAGAGCCCTTCTTTTTTCTCTTTCCTTCCAGATCCCCTTCCTCCTCCGCTCTCACCCATTATCACAGCTGTGGCCCCACCGGCTCTGTCTCCTTTGGGGGAGTTAGAGTACCCCTTTGGTGCCAAAGGGGACAGTGACCCTGAGTCACCCTTGGCTGCCCCCATCCTGGAGACACCCATCAGCCCTCCACCAGAAGCTAACTGCACTGACCCTGAGCCTGTCCCCCCTATGATCCTTCCTCCATCTCCAGGCTCCCCAGTGGGGCCGGCTTCTCCCATCCTGATGGAGCCCCTTGCCCCTCAGTGTTCGCCACTCCTTCAGCATTCCTTGGCTCCCCAAAACTCCCCTCCTTCCCAGTGCTCCCCTCCTGCCCTGCCACTGTCCGTTCCCTCCCCGTTGAGTCCCATAGGGAAGGTAGTGGGGGTCTCAGATGAGCCTGAGCTGCACGAGATGGAGACTGAGAAAGTTCCAGAACCTGAATGCCCAGCCTTGGAACCCAGTGCCACCAGTCCTCTCCCTTCCCCGATGGGGGACCTCTCCTGCCCTGCCCCCAGCCCTGCCCCAGCCCTGGATGACTTCTCTGGCCTAGGGGAAGACACAGCCCCTCTGGATGGGATTGATGCTCCGGGTTCACAGCCAGAGGCTGGACAGACCCCTGGCAGTTTGGCTAGTGAACTTAAAGGCTCCCCTGTGCTCCTGGACCCTGAGGAGCTGGCCCCCGTGACCCCTATGGAGGTCTACCCCGAATGCAAGCAAACAGCAGGGCAGGGCTCACCATGTGAAGAACAGGAAGAGCCACGTGCACCAGTGGCCCCCACACCACCCACTCTCATCAAATCCGACATCGTTAATGAGATCTCTAATCTGAGCCAGGGTGATGCCAGTGCCAGTTTTCCTGGCTCAGAGCCCCTCCTGGGCTCTCCTGACCCGGAGGGGGGTGGCTCCCTGTCCATGGAGCTGGGGGTCTCTACAGATGTTAGTCCAGCCCGAGATGAGGGCTCCCTACGGCTCTGTACCGACTCACTGCCAGAGACTGATGATTCACTATTGTGCGATGCTGGGACAGCTATCAGCGGAGGCAAAACTGAGGGGGAGAAGGGGCGGCGGCGCAGCTCCCCAGCCCGTTCCCGCATAAAACAGGTGAGGGACTATCTAGCTGCGGGATGTGATCAGAGTTAGCCCTGTCAGAGGTATAGTCCTGTGTCACTGATACTTTCCCACCTTGCTTTGTGAATCCTATACTTGGAGATCCTTTATTCCAATTATTAAGGAGAAAATACTAATACATAGAAGGGACGAGTAACTTGCCCAGATTCATGATTACTCAGTAATAGAATTGGGACCAGAAACTTGGTTCTTTCAAGTCACCGTTTTTTCTCCATGTCCATGTTGGCCACTCTTGGGAGGGGAAGAATGGGTTTGGGCTACAGCTATGCACTTGTTGATATCTGGGAGGTTGGCCTTTTCCCCTGCCCTGAGTGGGACTCCTGGGCTTATTACCTGTCTTACTGTGTCCATTTGTCACTTCTTCTGTTCAAGTGTGTAAACCCAACACACTAACCCTTGACATGCTCCTGTCATTGTCCCCTTCTTTCACTCAGGGTCGCAGCAGCAGTTTCCCAGGAAGACGCCGGCCTCGTGGAGGAGCCCATGGAGGACGTGGTAGAGGACGGGCCCGACTAAAGTCAACTGCTTCTTCCATTGAGACTCTGGTAGTAAGGAGATGCCTCCTATTCCTCCCATCCCCCGACCATGCTTTAGCACCCTCTGAGTCCTTCCAGTCCCTTGCATGCTTGCCTACCTGCCTGCTTGTCTAGGGCCTGTCTGGCTATGTCTGAATTCCTGTCCACTTGGCCCCCAGGTTTTTCTGAAATCTCTGCTATCAGGCTGAGGCCCAGTTTGGGAGCTGGGGTGTTCTGTCCGTTATTTCTGGCTTTTGGCCTTCATCTTAGCCGGGGGTTAACACTTTCTTCCCCCAACACCAAAGAGGAAAGTATCTTGGTGGGGGCAGATTTATCTGCCTCACTTTCTACAACTCTCTCCCCATCAGGTTGCTGACATTGATAGCTCTCCCAGTAAGGAGGAGGAGGAAGAAGATGACGACACCATGCAGAATACCGTGGTTCTCTTCTCCAACACAGACAAATTTGTCCTAATGCAGGTACCATACAGTGAGACCTGGCACACTGAACATTGTGTATGTTTGTGTTTTGATGAGAGAATTGATGGGGAAAACTGGACCTACTTTTGGGGATACCCAGCTAATGAGAAAACAGACCATGAATTCTAATCATGTTGTTCATTGGTTTGTCCATCCATCACATTTCTCTTGAGTGTCTCCTCTGAGCTTGGTACTAAGCTAGGAGCTAGAGAAATAGCAGTGAAAAAGTCTTTGCCCTATTGAAGTTTATAGCTTAGGGAACTTACATGTGTCCTCACTTGAATAGTCTTTAAGCTGATAGAATTTTGTCACATACGTGATTCTCACCTGACCAGTCTTTACCCCATCTTATCTTCCTTTAATTTCTTCTTACCTTTACCCATGTCAGGCTTTATAAATTCAAGTGACCTGACTAGGTGAGTGAGGCATCCTAGGAAGGAGCAGGGTCCCTTGGTAGCTTACAGCGTCCTAATGCTGTGGGATGGGGTTCCTGACTCTCTGGTCGCAAATCAGTGTTGTAGCATCATAGTAGGCTGGATCTGAGTGGGATGGGGAGATCTAGTTGGACATTCGGGTTTCTCTGTGTTTCCCCAGGACATGTGTGTGGTATGTGGCAGCTTTGGCCGGGGAGCAGAGGGCCACCTCCTTGCCTGTTCACAGTGCTCTCAGTGCTATCACCCTTACTGTGTCAACAGCAAGGTGAGTTCGGGCCCAAGAGGTGTAGGCTGGGAAATAGGGTCAGTTATTTCTTACCTTAGTTCCTTGTCCTGGCCATACGACCTCTTAAAGTGGCCATTGGTCATGGATGTTGTTCATTAGTCACCAGTGGTTATCAAACTTTTCTTGGGGAAAAATACTTTGGAACTCATGGTGGACTTCATAGTTTCTTTGTGGTAGACCCTGACCTGCTGGTATAATTCAGTCCATTGTAAAAAATAACAACATGGCCGGGCATGGTGGCTCCCACCCGTAATCCCAGCACTTGGGGAGGCCTAGGCGGGCGGATCACCTGAGATTAGGAGTTCAAGACCATCGTGGCCAACATGGTGAAACCCTGTCTCTACTAAAAATACAAAAATTAGCTGAGTGTGGTAGCATGTGCCTGTAATCCCAGGAACTCGGGAGGCCGAGGCAGGAAAATTGCTTGAACCTGGGAGGCGGATGTTGCAGTGAGCTGAGATTGTGCCACTGCACTCCAGCCTGGGCAATAGAGTGAGCTCTGTCTCAAAAAAAAAAAAGAAAAGAAAAAAAAATGGGGGACCTAATTCTGTCTACAGTCTCTTCTTAGGGACTTGGCTAGTGGAAAGACTGCCATTCCATTCACAATGAGGCAGTGGCTAGTGCAGCTCTTCTCTGATCAGCAGAGATCATTGGGAATCTAAGTTTAGAGTCACTGTTTTGGGGACAAGGGTGCTCTGTCTAAGTCTCCCTGTGCTCAAATGGAGGCCTAGTCTCTGCATTGAGGTTCCTCCAGCCTCACCCTTAGAAGTTCCACCTCCTAGGCTGGGCATGGTGGCGCATACCTGTAATCCCAGCACTTCACTTCAGGAGGCTGAGGCAGGTGGATCACCCAAGGTCAGGAGTTTGTGACCAGCCTGACTAACATGGTGAAACCCTGTCTCTACTAAATACAAGAAAATTAGCTGGGCATGGTGGCAGGTACCTGTAATCCCAGCTACCTGGGAGGCTGAGACAGGAGAATTGCTTGTACCTGGGAGGTGGAGGTTGCAGTGAGCCAAGATCGCGCCATTGCACTCCAGCCTGGGGAACAAGAGCAAAACTCCGTCCCCCCCCCCCAAAAAAAAAGAAGTTCCACCTCCTTTCCACTTCACACCCTGAGAAGTTCCCATTTTCTGCCTCAGATCACCAAGGTGATGCTGCTTAAGGGCTGGCGTTGTGTGGAGTGTATTGTGTGTGAGGTGTGCGGCCAGGCCTCCGACCCCTCACGCCTGCTGCTCTGTGATGACTGTGATATTAGCTACCACACGTACTGCCTGGACCCCCCACTGCTCACCGTCCCCAAGGGTGGCTGGAAGTGCAAGTGGTAAGGAGACTGTGATCTTTATTGGAGCCCTGGGACCTTGAGATGTTAAAGTGGATATGATGTTGAGTATGTGACAGAGGCTGGGTTTAGGAGGCCAGGCTGGTGGCTTGGGTTCCTGGTGAGGGGACTTCTGGGTACTTTGGATAGGTTGGGTGCTCAGGCTCTGTTTTCCTGCTCCTACCAGGTGTGTGTCTTGTATGCAGTGTGGGGCTGCCTCCCCTGGCTTCCACTGTGAATGGCAGAATAGTTACACACACTGTGGGCCCTGTGCCAGCCTGGTGACCTGCCCTATCTGTCATGCTCCTTATGTAGAAGAGGACCTACTAATCCAGTGCCGTCACTGTGAACGGTGAGAACATCCCTTTCTCTTCATGTTGGCCCTGTTGCTAGCCTTGCATTGCCTGAGCTCATTTCCTCCAGTCTCTGTTCTCCAGGTGGATGCATGCTGGCTGTGAGAGCCTCTTCACAGAGGACGATGTGGAGCAGGCAGCCGATGAAGGCTTTGACTGTATCTCCTGCCAGCCCTACGTGGTAAAGCCTGTGGGTGAGTACCAGCTGCTGGGTAGGGGGAGGAGTCCGGGCAGGGGTACCTTGCTTTGGGACAGGACCTCAGCCACCTCCGTTTGTCCTTCTCTCCATAGCACCTGTTGCACCTCCAGAGCTGGTGCCCATGAAGGTGAAAGAGCCTGGTGAGTCACAGAAATTTTGAATGCCAAAGCCAGACCAGACGTCAGACATCATCTGGTCTAACTCCAACCCCCCAGCTTCATCTCCTCATTTTAAGAGGAGGAAACTCAGACCCAGAGAAGTTAAGTGGCTTGCCCAAGGTTACCTAGTGAGTTAGTGGCAAAGTTACGACTAGAACCAAGTTCTCCAGCTTCCTGGGCAGTGTTCCTTTCATCAGGCACCATGGCCTCTTTACTGCCAGAATTTCATCTTCAGAACTCTTCTTTTTTTTTTTTTTTTTGAGATGGAGTCTCACTCTGTCACCCAGGCTAGAGTGCAGTGACACAATCTTGGCACACTGCAAGCTCCGCCTCCTGGGTTCACACCATTCTCCTGCCTCAGCCTCCCGAGTAGCTGAGACTACAGTCGCCCGCCACCATGTCCAGCTAATTTTTTGTATTTTTAGTAGAGACGGGGTTTCACTGTGTTAGCCAGTACAGTCTCGATCTCCTGACCTTGTGATCTGCCTGCCTTGGCCTCCCAAAGTGCTGGGATTACAGGCGTGAGCCACCGCACCCGGCCGAGAACATAACTCTTTTTTATCAGTGAAAGGGGCCAGGGACATCTCCTTTATCGTGATATGGCACTGCTCCTAGCATCTAGGACACTGTGTGCTGGCGTTCAGCAAGTAGGGGCCCTCATAGCCCCAGACAGCAAGATAATCACCCTAGTGACGCTAGGGTTAATCATGAGCAAAGGCAGGCTTCTGAGTTACAGTTCCTCTCTGAATCTCCCTGGGTCACTGACAGAGAACTCAGGCCTCAGCCAGTGCCTTAGGTGGTCTGTTCTCCCCAGCAGTTAGACCCTAAGCTGGACTTTTGTCACTGTCTTTGTCTCAGCTAAGGACGTAGGTTGAAACTTGCAGTTCTGGTTTCCCTGGGTCTTCCATCCAGGGATCACACACTCTCCTCTAATGCAGAGCCCCAGTACTTTCGCTTCGAAGGTGTGTGGCTGACAGAAACTGGCATGGCCTTGCTGCGTAACCTGACCATGTCACCACTGCACAAGCGGCGCCAGCGGCGAGGACGGCTTGGCCTCCCAGGCGAGGCAGGATTGGAGGGTTCTGAGCCATCAGAGGCCCTTGGTCCTGATGACAAGAAGGATGGGGACCTGGACACCGATGAGTTGCTCAAGGGTGAAGGTTAGCTTGGGGAATCTTAGGGAGCGGCAGAATAGTGGGAGCATGCCTCTGGGAGTGGGATGTTGGGTGGGGGCTACATTGCCACTCACAGTTACCCTTAAGCACTGCTGGTCTTGTCTAAGTGGCTCTGAGGCAAGGTCCTCAGCTCTCTCCATGGCAGGATGACAAGGTTAAAAGGGCCTATAGTTCTGATCTGCCTCTATCTCTTCTGTCACCATATGCAGGTGGTGTGGAGCACATGGAGTGCGAAATTAAACTGGAGGGCCCTGTCAGCCCTGATGTGGAGCCTGGCAAAGAGGAGACCGAGGAAAGCAAAAAACGCAAGCGTAAACCCTATCGGCCTGGTGAGGTCCTGGGATGGGTGTGTGGGGTGGTGGGGTGGCTTGGTGCAGCTCAATAGGTCCCCCAGCGGCTTCTCATCCGCAGCTCTGCCTCCTCATAGGCATTGGTGGTTTCATGGTGCGACAGCGGAAATCCCACACACGCACGAAAAAGGGGCCAGCTGCACAGGCGGAGGTGTTGAGTGGGGATGGGCAGCCCGACGAGGGTGAGACGGGTGAGGGCACCAGTGGGGCCTGGGAGAAGGTGGGGTAATGCTAGAGAGACCCAGTGGGTGGACTCATTGAAAGGGCCAAGAGGGTGGTAGACCCAGCTGGTGTTGTGGGAGAGTGTAGGCACAAAGTGTCACCCTGCAAGTTGGGAGCAGCATGCCCTCAACCCAAGTGTGACACTTCTGTTCTGTCCACAGTGATACCTGCTGACCTGCCTGCAGAGGGTACCGTGGAGCAGAGCTTAGCTGAAGGGGATGAGAAGAAGAAGCAACAGCGGCGAGGGCGCAAGAAGAGCAAACTGGAGGACATGTTCCCTGCTTACCTGCAGGTGGGTCTCAGGCTCCAAGCAGTGAGGGAGGTGTCTGTGCCCTGTAGGGCATGAAGAAACCTGTTTCTCCTTGACTGCCCCATAGGAAGCCTTCTTTGGGAAGGAGCTGCTGGACCTGAGCCGTAAGGCCCTTTTTGCAGTTGGGGTGGGCCGGCCAAGCTTTGGACTAGGAACCCCAAAAGCCAAGGGAGATGGAGGCTCAGAAAGGAAGGAACTCCCCACATCGCAGAAAGGTTAGTTATGTGGGAGTAAGTGGTCTGAGAGAATCCGACTTCCTTCTGGCTTAGGAGCTGGCAGCTTATTTGATGGGAAATGGACTGGCCTCCAGGAGTCAAGTGTGGGGTCAAGGGTCCTGGCCTGTAGGGCTGTGGGACTGGAGACCTGCTCTGGGCATCAGATGTAGGACATCTCTGATTGGAGTGGGGCCTCTTGCTCATAGGAGATGATGGTCCAGATATTGCAGATGAAGAATCCCGTGGCCTCGAGGGCAAAGCTGATACACCAGGTGAGGGCTGCCAGGGGGACTGTGTCCTGTCTTGGCCTTGCCTCTGTCCCTCTGCTCTGCCCCTGAGCATTGTCAGGGGTTGGAGGCTGGAAACTGTCCCATGGCCCTCTGTGGTTCAGAGTGGCCATGACCCATACTGGCCTTGACCCATGGGTTTCTCCTGGCATTTACAGGACCTGAGGATGGGGGCGTGAAGGCATCTCCAGTGCCCAGTGACCCTGAGAAGCCAGGCACCCCGGGTGAAGGGATGCTTAGCTCTGACTTAGACAGGATTTCCACAGAAGGTGAGGCTGTGACCCACACTTGTTTGTGTATAAGGGTTTTCTGTGGGAGAAGGAGGAGGTCCTATCTGTGGGACTATGATCTGTGCAGCTTCTCTGGTGGGGAGTCCTGGGCACCTTCCTTGGCCATGATCATTTGTAGACCTGTTGTGTCACCTGAACTTCCCAGTCTTCCTCAGCAGTATCCTTCATTCCCCCACAGAACTGCCCAAGATGGAATCCAAGGACCTGCAGCAGCTCTTCAAGGATGTTCTGGGCTCTGAACGAGAGCAGCATCTGGGTTGCGGAACCCCTGGCCTAGAAGGCAGCCGTACGCCACTGCAGAGACCCTTTCTTCAAGGTGATATGGGTGGGAGTGGTCTGAAGACTGACATAACCAAGCTTGCCTCCAGGATGATCCAGTCGCTCTCTTTTCTCTGATCCTGTTCATCTTGTAGGTGGACTCCCTTTGGGCAATCTGCCCTCCAGCAGCCCAATGGACTCCTACCCAGGCCTCTGCCAGTCCCCGTTCCTGGATTCTAGGTTGGTGTCTCTGTGTAAACTTCGTGGGCAGTCCCCGTTGTCCTTTCCCTCCATCTGAGTTCATGCCTTGCCTCCTTCGGACTCCTGCAGCACTTCCCCTGTTCCTCCCCATTCCCTTGTTAGTGGCCCTCCTCTTTTGGGGCAGAGGCTCTGGGCAGTTGGTCTGGGGTGGGACTTGGCATCCCTGCGCCCTGTGACTCTCTGCCCCTGCGCCCCAGGGAGCGCGGGGGCTTCTTTAGCCCGGAACCCGGTGAGCCCGACAGCCCCTGGACAGGCTCAGGTGGCACCACGCCCTCCACCCCCACAACCCCCACCACGGAGGGTGAGGGCGACGGACTCTCCTATAACCAGCGGAGTCTTCAGCGCTGGGAGAAGGATGAGGAGTTGGGCCAGCTGTCCACCATCTCACCCGTGCTCTATGCCAACATTAATTTTCCTAATCTCAAGCAAGATTACCCAGGTACCTGTGGGACGAGGGCAAAGGAGACAGCCTGGCAACATGGCAGGTGGAAGGGTCGCCTGCCAAGTCTCCTCTGACTCACTCCCTCTGCCCTCCAGACTGGTCAAGCCGTTGCAAACAAATTATGAAGCTCTGGAGAAAGGTTCCAGCAGCTGACAAAGCCCCCTACCTGGTGAGACAGAAAGGAGCATGGGTTAGCATGAGAACTGAGAGGGAGGAAGGGATCTTTGGGTAATTTACCTCAGTTCTTTCCACTCCCCACTCCTAAAGCAGCTGGGCCCGAAGGGATCAGCTTCTGGGTAGAGAGTGTGAAAACACTGTACAGTATGGGGGCGGGGCATGAGACCAAGCACTAGGCCCTAAGGCTGTGTCCTGTATCTCTCAGCAAAAGGCCAAAGATAATCGGGCAGCTCACCGCATCAACAAGGTGCAGAAGGTGAGTGGGGCTGGGCTGGGGTGTAGCAGTCCTCTAGTGGGTGGCCTCTCTTGAGGGTGGAGGGCTGTGGGGCCTGCCTGCAGCAGCCTGACTGCCCTGTGCCTGGTCTCCTCCTGTAGCAGGCTGAGAGCCAGATCAACAAGCAGACCAAGGTGGGCGACATAGCCCGTAAGACTGACCGACCGGCCCTACATCTCCGCATTCCCCCTCAGCCAGGGGCACTGGGCAGCCCGCCCCCGGCTGCTGCCCCCACCATTTTCATTGGCAGCCCCGCTACCCCCGCCGGCTTGTCTACCTCTGCGGACGGGTTCCTGAAGCCGCCGGCGGGCTCGGTGCCCGGCCCTGACTCGCCTGGTGAGCTCTTTCTCAAGCTCCCACCCCAGGTGCCCGCCCAAGTGCCTTCACAGGACCCCTTTGGACTGACCCCCGCCTATCCCCTGGAGCCCCGCTTCCCCACGGCACCACCCACCTATCCCCCCTATCCTAGTCCGACGGGGGCCCCTGCGCAGCCCCCGATGCTGGGCGCCTCATCTCGTCCTGGGACTGGCCAGCCAGGGGAATTCCACACTACCCCACCTGGCACCCCCCGACACCAGCCCTCCACACCTGACCCATTCCTCAAACCCCGCTGCCCCTCGCTGGATAACTTGGCTGTGCCTGAGAGCCCTGGGGTAGGGGGAGGCAAGGCTTCCGAGCCCCTGCTCTCGCCCCCACCTTTTGGGGAGTCCCGGAAGGCCCTAGAGGTGAAGAAGGAAGAGCTTGGGGCATCCTCTCCTAGCTATGGGCCCCCAAACCTGGGCTTTGTTGACTCACCCTCCTCAGGCCCCCATCTGGGTGGCCTGGAGTTAAAGACACCTGATGTCTTCAAAGCCCCCCTGACCCCTCGGGCATCTCAGGTAGAGCCCCAGAGCCCGGGCTTGGGCCTAAGGCCCCAGGAGCCACCCCCTGCCCAGGCTTTGGCCCCTTCTCCTCCAAGTCACCCGGACATCTTTCGCACTGGCTCCTACCCTGACCCCTATGCTCAGCCCCCATTGACTCCTCGGCCCCAGCCTCCACCACCTGAGAGCTGCTGTGCTCTGCCCCCTCGCTCACTGCCTTCCGACCCTTTCTCCCGAGTGCCTGCCAGTCCTCAGTCCCAGTCCAGCTCCCAGTCTCCACTGACACCCCGTCCTCTGTCTGCTGAAGCTTTTTGCCCATCCCCCGTTACCCCTCGCTTCCAGTCCCCTGACCCTTATTCTCGCCCACCCTCACGCCCTCAGTCCCGTGACCCATTTGCCCCATTGCATAAGCCACCCCGACCCCAGCCCCCTGAAGTTGCCTTTAAGGCTGGGTCTCTAGCCCACACTTCGCTGGGGGCTGGGGGTTTCCCAGCAGCCCTGCCCTCGGGGCCGGCAGGTGAGCTCCATACCAAGGTCCCAAGTGGGCAGCCCCCCAATTTTGTCCGGTCCCCTGGGACGGGAGCATTTGTGGGCACCCCCTCTCCCATGCGTTTCACTTTCCCTCAGGCGGTAGGGGAGCCTTCCCTAAAGCCCCCTGTCCCTCAGCCTGGTCTCCCGCCACCCCATGGGATCAACAGCCATTTTGGGCCCGGCCCCACCTTGGGCAAGCCTCAAAGCACAAACTACGCAGTAGCCACAGGGAACTTCCACCCATCGGGCAGCCCCCTGGGGCCCAGCAGCGGGTCCACAGGGGAGAGCTATGGGCTGTCCCCGCTACGCCCCCCGTCAGTTCTGCCACCACCTGCACCCGACGGATCCCTCCCCTACCTGTCCCATGGAGCCTCACAGCGATCAGGCATCACCTCTCCTGTCGAAAAGCGAGAAGACCCAGGGGCTGGAATGGGTAGCTCTTTGGCGACACCTGAACTCCCAGGTACCCAGGACCCAGGCATGTCCGGCCTTAGCCAAACAGAGCTGGAGAAGCAACGGCAAGTAAGTTGATACTGTGGAGCTAAGCCCCACATATCACTGCTGTCTCTGGGTCAGCCCCATGATTAGAGTAGAATGGGCTTATTCCTCTTCTGCTTTTTTTTTTTTTTTTGCACAGCGCCAGCGACTACGAGAGCTGCTGATTCGGCAGCAGATCCAGCGCAACACGCTGCGGCAGGAGAAGGAAACAGCTGCAGCAGCTGCAGGAGCAGTGGGACCTCCAGGCAGCTGGGGTGCTGAGCCCAGCAGCCCTGCCTTTGAGCAGCTGAGTCGAGGCCAGACCGCCTTTGCTGGGACTCAGGTAGGTAGAGTGACAAGGGACAGTGGGGCCAGGATACTGAAGGTTGCCCCACCTTCATCTACCTTGTCTCTTCTAGGACAAGAGCAACCTTGTGGGGCTGCCCCCAGGCAAGCTGAGTGGCCCCATCCTGGGGCAAGGGTCCTTCCCTGGCGATGACCGACTCTCCCGGCCACCTCCACCAGCCACGCCTTCCTCTATGGATGTGAACAGCCGGTGAGGCTCCAGGAGGTTCCCTTGGGGTAAACCAAGGGGTATGAATTTTATCACTGTCGCACGCTCTTGTGATTTTCCTGTAGCACTAATCCTTTTCCAGTATCACTTTCTCTTCTTCCTCATTCCGTTTCTTCCTCACTGCATTAATTCTATCCTTCCTCACTGCCGTAAGCCCATGTTCTTGCTCCTTTTCATCTGATTTCATCTCACTGACTACTGTATATTCTTCCAGGCAACTGGTAGGAGGCTCCCAAGCTTTCTATCAGCGAGCACCCTATCCTGGGTCCCTGCCCTTACAGCAGCAACAGCAACAACTGTGGCAGCAGCAACAGGCAACAGCAGCAACCTCCATGCGATTTGCCATGTCAGCTCGCTTTCCATCAACTCCTGTACCTGAACTTGGCCGCCAAGCTCTAGGTTCCCCATTGGCGGGAATTCCCACCCGTCTGCCAGGCCCTGGTGAACCAGTGCCTGGTCCAGCTGGTCCTGCCCAGTTCATTGAGCTGCGGCACAATGTACAGAAAGGACTGGGACCTGGGGGCACTCCGTTTCCTGGTCAGGGCCCACCTCAGAGACCCCGTTTTTACCCTGTAAGTGAGGACCCCCACCGACTGGCTCCTGAAGGGCTTCGGGGCCTGGCGGTATCAGGTCTTCCCCCACAGAAACCCTCAGCCCCACCGGCCCCTGAATTGAACAACAGTCTACATCCAACACCCCACACCAAGGGTCCTACCCTGCCAACTGGCTTGGAGCTGGTCAGCCGACCTGCCTCGAGCACTGAGCTTGGCCGCCCCACTCCTCTGGCCCTGGAAGCTGGGAAGTTGCCCTGTGAGGATCCCGAGCTGGATGATGATTTTGATGCCCACAAGGCCCTAGAGGATGATGAAGAGCTTGCTCACCTGGGTCTGGGTGTGGATGTGGCCAAGGGTGATGATGAACTGGGCACCTTAGAAAACCTGGAGACGAATGACCCCCACTTGGATGACCTGCTCAATGGAGATGAGTTTGACCTGCTGGCATATACTGATCCTGAGCTGGACACTGGGGACAAGAAGGACATCTTCAATGAGCACCTGAGGCTGGTAGAGTCAGCTAATGAGAAGGCTGAACGGGAGGCCCTGCTGCGTGGGGTGGAGCCAGGACCCTTGGGCCCTGAGGAGCGCCCTCCTCCTGCTGCTGATGCCTCTGAGCCCCGCCTGGCATCTGTGCTCCCTGAGGTGAAGCCTAAGGTGGAGGAGGGTGGACGCCACCCTTCCCCTTGCCAGTTCACCATTGCTACCCCCAAGGTAGAGCCCGCACCTGCTGCCAATTCCCTTGGCCTGGGGCTAAAGCCAGGACAGAGCGTGATGGGCAGCCGGGATACCCGGATGGGCACAGGGCCATTTTCTAGCAGTGGGCACACAGCTGAGAAGGGCTCCTTTGGGGCCACAGGAGGACCATCAGCTCACCTGCTGACCCCCAGCCCACTGAGTGGCCCAGGAGGATCCTCCCTGCTAGAAAAGTTTGAGCTCGAGAGTGGGGCTTTGACCTTGCCTGGTGGACCTGTAGCATCTGGGGATGAGCTAGACAAGATGGAGAGCTCACTGGTAGCCAGCGAGTTACCCCTGCTCATTGAGGACCTGTTGGAGCATGAGAAGAAGGAGCTGCAGAAGAAGCAGCAACTTTCAGCACAGTTGCAGCCTGCCCAACAACAGCAGCAACAGCAGCAGCAGCAGCATTCCCTACTGTCTGCACCAGGCCCTGCCCAGGCCATGTCTTTGCCACATGAGGGTTCTTCTCCCAGTTTGGCTGGGTCCCAGCAGCAGCTTTCCCTGGGTCTTGGAGGTGCCCGACAGCCAGGCTTGCCCCAACCACTGATGCCTACCCAGCCACCAGCTCATGCCCTCCAACAGCGCCTGGCTCCATCCATGGCTATGGTGTCCAATCAAGGGCATATGCTAAGTGGGCAGCATGGAGGGCAGGCAGGCTTGGTACCTCAGCAGAGTTCACAGCCAGTGCTATCACAGAAGCCCATGGGCACCATGCCACCTTCCATGTGCATGAAGCCACAGCAACTGGCAATGCAGCAGCAGCTGGCAAACAGCTTCTTCCCAGATACAGGTAACCTCGGCTAGTAACATAGCCAAGTTACTCAGGGTGATCGTTGTTATCACTAAATGGGCACTGAGGCTAGAGACTTCAAATAATCCCTACTTAAGATGGGACACAAGGAACTTTGGCTAAATATCATACTAGTGGTAGAGGCAGAAACACTGTAGCTTTTAAGAAGAGAGAACAGTTCTGGCATATACTAGGCATATGGCAGATGTTTGAATAAATGGAATGAATGTATGAATGAAGCCTAAGTAGCAGAGCCTTTGTGGCTGTAGTGAAGTTGAAAGCTTAGGACTTGAAGAGTAGTGGTGCAAAAAAAAGCAGTTGAGGTCGGGCACGATGGCTCATGCCTGTAATCCCAGCACTTTGGGAGGCCGAGGCAGGTGGATCACTTAAGATCAGGAATTCAAGACCAGCCTGGCCAAGATGATGAAACCCTATCTCTACTAAAAATACAAAAATTAGCTGGGTGTGAGCCAGGCGTGGTGGTGCATCCCTGTAATCCCAACTACTTGGGAGGCTGAGGCAGGGGAATTGCTTGACCCCAGGAGGCAGAGGTTTTGGTGAGCCAAGATCGCCTCATTGCACTCCAGCTTGGGCAACAAGAACGAAACTCCATCTCAAAAATAAATAAATAAGTAAAAATTAGCTGGGTGTGGTGGTGCATGCCTGTAGTTCCAGCTTCTCGAGAGGCTAAGACAGGAGAACTGCTTGAACCCAGGAGGTGGAGGTTGCAGTTAGCTGAGATCACGCCATTGCACCCCAGCGTGGGCAACAGAGCGAGACTCTGTCTTTTATTTGTTTTGTTTTGTTTTTTTGAGACGGAGTCTGGCTCTGTCACCCAGGCTGGAGTGCAGTGGCCGGATCTCAGCTCACTGCAAGCTCCGCCTCCCGGGTTTACGCCATTCTCCTGCCTCAGCCTCCCCGAGTAGCTGGGACTACAGGCGCCCGCCACGTCGCCCGGCTAGTTTTTTGTATTTTTTTAGTAGAGATGGGGTTTCACTGTGTTAGCCAGGATGGTCTCGATCTCCTGACCTCGTGATCCGCCCATCTCGGCCTCCCAAAGTGCTGGGATTACAGGCTTGAGCCACCGCGCCCGGCCGAGACTCTGTCTTTTAAAAAAAAAAGTTGGGATAGGTGAAAAAGTTCATTGAGGCTGTAATGGCGGGAAAACCTATGGGGTGTTTCAAGAACTGTGAGTGAATTAGTTAGGCTGGAGTAAACTGTTTAGTGTGAAGTAAGTGACATAATTTTGGTGAGGTAATATGGGGGCCAGATTGAAAAAGACCTCAAATTATAATACCATTTATTGAGTAATTACTATTTGCCAAGCAGTTTACTGAGCACTTCACACTTTTTGTCCAATTTAATCATTACAGCAGACTCATTAAATAGATATTGTTATTATCTTTGATTACAGAAGAGGAAACAGAAGTGGAGGTTAAGTAACTTGTCCAAGATTACACAGCAGCTAGCAGAGCTAGATCTGAAGTCTGGTCGGTACTCCTCTTAACTATTTACTGCCTCAGAATTCCAGGAGAGGGAGTTTGGTTAGGCCTTAAGAAAGTGGGAACTCTGGCCAGATGCTGTGGCTCACACCTTTAATCCCAGCACTTTGGGAGGCTGAGGTGGGTGGATCACCTGAGGTCAGGAGTTCCAGACCAGCCTGGCCAACATGGTGAAACATCGTTTCTACTAAAAATACAAAACTTAGCTGGGCTTGGTGGTGGGTGCCTATAATCACAGTTACTCGGGAGGCTGAGGCAGGAGAATCGCTTGAACCCAGGAGGCAGAGGTTGCAGTGAGCTGAAACTGCACCATTGCACTCCAGCCTGGGTGACAAGAGCAAAGGCTCTGTCTTAAAGGAAGGAGAAAAAATGGGCGCTCAGTTAAGTTTTCTGAGCAGTGGAGAAATATACAAAGTGTGGGATTTTAGGAAGATTTAACTTTTTGGTAGTTGGTTGGTTGTTCTTTTTTGCCCAGCATTCTAGACAGACAGGAGAGTGGACTACAGGTGATGCATGTGGTACCCAAAACAGCTCTGGAATCTAGGGCTTTGCAACAGTGCCAGCATCTTGGGTTCTTGGGCTGTGCTAGTTGCACTAAGAACTTTGCATTTGAAGAATGCTTTCCAAGTTACAAAGTGTACTTATATTCTTGTCACGTTTGATCCTCTTAACACCTCTGAGGTAGACGGAGTAGGGATCATCATCTGTATCAAATAAAAGGGTAAACTGAGGTGAAATAACGCAGGTTGACTCAACAAATATTTACGGAGCCACTTTTTCTAGCACGGTGCAAGTTAAAACAGGACCACATGTCCTGTGAATAATAGAGCTGATTCTCCCAGGCAGACTGGCTCCTAATTCAGTGGTCTTTCTGCCTTGCCATGCCATTGTTCTACCTGGTGTGGTTGAGGTCAGGATGTTGAAAGGAATCGCAGATATTCAGTGAAGCTTTGGCCTCATAGCCCAGCTCATTTGGTTCTCCGCTTTCCAGACCTGGACAAATTTGCTGCAGAAGATATCATTGATCCTATTGCAAAGGCCAAGATGGTGGCTTTGAAAGGCATCAAGAAAGTGATGGCTCAGGGCAGCATTGGGGTGGCACCTGGTATGAACAGGTAAGACTCAGGGCCGGAATGGGTTTGGCCCTTTTCTTTCCCAGTCACACCCCTTCTTGGCCGCCCTCCCTACTTGTCCCACGTCTCTTTGCCTTCCAACTTTCTTATTGCCAACACTTATCCTCTGTGCTTTGGTGGACTCCAGACAGCAGGTGTCTCTGCTAGCCCAGAGGCTCTCGGGGGGACCCGGCAGTGATCTGCAGAACCATGTGGCACCTGGGAGTGGCCAGGTAAGTGGTCAGGTGGGAGTAGGAACTTGTGTCTTATGACATTGGGGCATCCTTCTTAGGGCCTATCAGGGAACAATGACCCTTTAGCAGTCTCTCTCATTGCAGGAGCGGAGTGCTGGTGATCCCTCCCAACCTCGTCCCAACCCGCCCACTTTTGCTCAGGGAGTGATCAGTGAGTATGGGGCATGGGAGGAAGGTGCAGGGAAGTGGTTTGGGACATATGGAGGAAAAGGGATTGGGATTACCATTTTGCAGGTCCTGACACCCAGCTTCTTTTCCCAGATGAAGCTGACCAGCGGCAGTATGAGGAGTGGCTGTTCCATACCCAGCAGCTCCTACAGATGCAGCTGAAGGTGCTAGAGGAGCAGATTGGTGTACACCGCAAGTCCCGGAAGGCTCTGTGTGCCAAGCAGCGCACTGCCAAAAAAGCTGGCCGTGAGTTCCCAGAAGCTGATGCTGAGAAGCTCAAGCTGGTTACAGAGCAGCAGAGCAAGATCCAGAAACAGCTGGATCAGGTGGGGGAAAGCAAACTTCAGCCTAGCACCTAGAAGGTAGGGAAGAGGGATGGCATGGGGGGAGCCTGCCCCAGCCTGACCTCTCCAACCTCCCGCGTTAGGTCCGGAAACAGCAGAAGGAGCACACTAATCTCATGGCGGAATATCGGAACAAGCAGCAGCAGCAACAACAGCAGCAGCAGCAGCAGCAACAGCAACAACACTCAGCTGTGCTGGCTCTTAGCCCTTCCCAGAGTCCCCGGCTGCTCACCAAGCTCCCTGGTCAGCTGCTCCCTGGCCATGGGTTGCAGCCACCACAGGGGCCTCCGGGTGGGCAAGCTGGAGGTCTTCGCCTGCCCCCTGGGGGTATGGCACTACCTGGACAGCCTGGTGGCCCCTTCCTTAACACAGCTCTGGCCCAACAGCAACAACAGCAACATTCTGGTGGGGCTGGATCCCTGGCTGGCCCCTCAGGGGGCTTCTTTCCTGGCAACCTTGCTCTTCGAAGCCTTGGACCTGATTCAAGACTTTTACAGGAAAGGCAGCTGCAGCTGCAGCAGCAACGCATGCAGCTGGCCCAGAAATTGCAGCAGCAGCAGCAGCAACAGCAGCAGCACCTTCTAGGACAGGTAGCAATCCAGCAGCAACAGCAGCAGGGTCCTGGAGTACAGACAAACCAAGCTCTGGGTCCCAAGCCCCAGGGACTTCTGCCTCCCAGCAGCCACCAAGGCCTCCTGGTCCAGCAGCTGTCCCCTCAACCACCCCAGGGGCCCCAGGGCATGCTGGGCCCTGGCCAGGTGGCTGTGTTGCAGCAGCAGCACCCTGGAGCTTTGGGCCCCCAGGGCCCTCACAGACAGGTGCTTATGACCCAGTCCCGGGTGCTCAGTTCCCCCCAGCTGGCACAGCAGGGTCAGGGCCTTATGGGACACAGGCTGGTCACAGCCCAGCAGCAGCAGCAGCAGCAACAACAGCACCAACAGCAAGGGTCCATGGCAGGGCTGTCCCATCTTCAGCAGAGTCTGATGTCACACAGTGGGCAGCCTAAACTGAGCACTCAGCCCATGGGCTCTTTACAGCAGCTTCAGCAGCAGCAGCAGCAGCAGCAGCAACAGCAACTTCAGCAGCAGCAGCAGCAGCAGCTACAACAGCAACAGCAACTTCAGCAGCAACAGCTTCAACAACAGCAGCAGCAACAGCAGCAGCAGCTTCAACAACAGCAGCAGCAACAGCAGCAGCAGCTTCAACAGCAACAACAGCAGCTACAACAGCAACAGCAGCAGCAGCTTCAACAGCAGCAACAGCAGCTACAACAGCAACAGCAACAGCTGCAACAGCAACAACAGCAGCAGCAGCAGATGGGCCTTTTAAACCAGAGTCGAACTTTACTGTCTCCTCAGCAACAACAGCAGCAGCAGGTGGCACTTGGCCCTGGCATGCCAGCAAAGCCTCTTCAACACTTTTCTAGCCCTGGAGCCCTGGGCCCAACCCTCCTCCTGACGGGCAAGGAACAAAACACCGTAGACCCGGCTGTTTCTTCAGAGGTCACTGAGGGGCCCTCTACACATCAGGGAGGGTCGTTAGCAATAGGAACTACCCCTGAGTCAATGGCCACTGAACCAGGAGAGGTAAAGCCCTCACTCTCTGGGGACTCACAACTTCTGCTTATCCAACCCCAGCCCCAGCCTCAGTCTAGCTCTCTGCAGCTGCAGCCACCTCTGAGGCTTCCAGGACAACAGCAGCAGCAAGTTAGCCTGCTCCACACAGCAGGTGGAGGAAGCCATGGGCAGCTAGGCAGTGGATCATCTTCTGAGGCTTCATCTATGCCCCACCTGCTTGCTCAGCCCTCTGTTTCCTTAGGGGAGCAGCCTGGGCCCATGACCCAGAACCTTCTGGGCCCCCAACAGCCCATGCTAGAGCGGCCCATGCAAAATAATACAGGGCCACAACCTCCCAAACCAGGACCTGTCCTCCAGTCTGGGCAGGGTCTGCCTGGGGTTGGAATCATGCCTACGGTGGGTCAGCTTCGAGCACAGCTCCAAGGAGTCCTGGCCAAAAACCCACAGCTGCGACACTTAAGTCCTCAGCAGCAGCAGCAGCTACAGGCACTCCTCATGCAGCGGCAGCTGCAGCAGAGTCAGGCAGTACGCCAGACCCCACCCTACCAGGAGCCTGGGACCCAGACCTCTCCCCTCCAGGGCCTCCTGGGCTGCCAACCTCAACTTGGGGGCTTTCCTGGATCACAGACAGGCCCCCACCAGGAGCTAGGGGCAGGGCCTCGACCTCAGGGCCCACCCCGGCTCCCTGCCCCACCAGGAGCCTTATCTACAGGACCAGTCCTTGGCCCTGTCCATCCCACACCTCCACCATCCAGCCCTCAAGAGCCAAAGAGACCTTCACAATTACCTTCCCCCAGCTCCCAGCTTCCCACTGAGGCCCAGCTCCCTCCTGCCCATCCAGGGACCCCCAAGCCCCAGGGGCCAAGCTTGGAGCTGCCTCCTGGGAGGGTCTCACCTGCTGCTGCCCAGCTTGCAGATACCTTGTTTGGCAAGGGTATGGGACCTTGGGATCCCCCAGACAACCTAGCAGAAACCCAGAAGCCAGAGCAGAGCAGCCTGGTACCTGGGCATCTGGACCAGGTGAATGGACAGGTGGTGCCTGAGGCACCCCAACTCAGCATCAAGCAGGAACCTCGGGAAGAGCCATGTGCCCTGGGAGCCCAGTCAGTGAAGAGGGAGGCCAATGGGGAGCCAATAGGGGCACCAGGAACCAGCAACCACCTCCTGCTGGCAGGCCCTCGCTCAGAAGCTGGGCATCTGCTCTTGCAGAAGCTACTCCGGGCAAAGAATGTGCAACTCAGCACTGGGCGGGGGTCCGAGGGGCTGCGAGCTGAGATCAACGGGCACATTGACAGCAAGCTGGCTGGGCTGGAGCAGAAACTACAGGGTACCCCCAGCAATAAGGAGGTGAGTACTCTGGCTAGAGTAGAGCAGGTAGAGTGGGGCCTAGAGCCAGCGGGGGGCAGAATGAGTGAACCTGGGTCAGACAGAAGAGATGAGGGCTCTGAGGAGGAGGGTAGCAGCCTTCACTGGGCTTATTTGGCTTAGGATGCAGCAGCAAGGAAGCCTTTGACACCGAAGCCCAAGCGGGTACAGAAGGCAAGCGACAGGTTGGTGAGCTCCCGAAAGAAGCTGCGGAAGGAGGACGGGGTCAGGGCCAGCGAGGCCTTGCTGAAACAGCTGAAACAGGTGACCCCCAGGAGCCAGTCCCCTGGTCCCATCCCAGGATAGGGGGCACCCTGTCCCCCAGCTGTGCAAGACAGCAACACAAACGCTCCAGGTTTTCAACTTTGTCATCTTGCCCCTTGTAGGAGCTGTCCCTGCTGCCTCTAACGGAGCCTGCTATCACCGCCAATTTTAGCCTCTTCGCCCCCTTTGGCAGTGGCTGCCCAGTCAATGGGCAGAGCCAGCTGAGGGGGGCCTTTGGAAGTGGGGCACTGCCCACTGGCCCTGACTACTATTCCCAGCTGCTTACCAAGGTCAGAAAAATGGCAATATTTTTTGGGAATAGTGAAGTTCTTGGGAAGGTGAGGGTGGGAATGGAAAACTTGAGGGAATTGCTGATGTAGAGTGGGGCCAGGAGATTATACCAGTCTCCCTATGCCATCTTGCACACAACACCCCACCCCCCACCCCCCAGAATAACCTGAGTAACCCGCCGACACCACCCTCGTCGCTGCCCCCCACCCCACCCCCATCGGTGCAGCAGAAGATGGTGAATGGTGTCACTCCATCTGAAGAGCTGGGGGAGCACCCCAAGGATGCTGCCTCTGCCCGGGATACTGAAGGGGCACTGAGGGGTAAGTCAAGAGCAGATGCCACCCCTGGTGGGGTTTGGTAGCTGGAGTCCAAGCCAGTTAGTGTGCTGTACAGTTTAGAAATGAGTGGGTTGCCTGCTGTCCTGTGTGTTTACATAACAGGGCACTTGAGGTAGGAAGGGCCCCTTCAGGACTGATTTCTTGGGGACCAGAATGGACATTTGGAGTCTAGAGCAAACGCAATAGGGGAGATGGGTGGCAGGGAGCATCTTTATGAAGCTTTGTATAGAAGGAACAGTCCAGCTTTAGTGAGTGTGGAGCTAGACTGATCTGGATTTGAATTCTGGTTCCTGCATTCATTCAACTGTGTTACTGTATCCACGTAACTTGATTGACTTGTGTGAGCCTCAGTTTCCTCACTGTAAAATGGCTATTGTAGTACTCACCTAATGGAGTTGTTAAATGACTAAACAAACTCCAAAGAGTGTATCTAAAGCCAACTGCCACCAGGCATGGTAGCTTATGCCTGTAATCCCAACACTTTTGGAGGCCAAGATGGGAGGATTGCTTGAGGCCAGGAGTTCAAAACCAGCTTGGGCAATATAACAGGACCCCATGTCTATGAAAAAAATAAATAAATAAATAAAGCCAGTACCTGGCATGCAGGACAGACTCAGTAAATATAGCTTGTCTGCCCCAAACTGGTAGGTGGGAGGACAGTTAATCGTGATAGCTGAGATCTCATGCTAATTAGGCCTAAAATATTGGGAGGGCCGGGCGCGGTGGCTCACGCCTGTAATCCCAGCACTTTGGGAGGCCGAGGCGGGCGGATCACGAGGTCAGGAGATCGAGACCATCCTGGCTAACACGGTGAAACCCCGTCTCTACTAAAAATGCAAAAAATTAGCCGGGCGAGGCGGCGGGCGCCTGTAGTCCCAGCTACTCGGGAGGCTGAGGCAGGAGAATGGCGTGAACCCGGGAGGCGGAGCTTGCAGTGAGCCGAGATCGCGCCACTGCACTCCAGCCTGGGCGACTAAGCGAGACTCTGTCTCAAAAAAAAAAAAAAAAAAAAAAATATTGGGAGAAGGTACCATCAGCCCTGGCCACCCTCACCTGACTTTTCTTCTCCCCACCCACCCCTCAGATACTTCAGAGGTGAAGAGTCTAGACCTGCTGGCCGCCTTGCCTACACCCCCTCACAATCAGACTGAGGATGTCAGGTAGGAGTGGGGCTGGAAATGGGGATGAGGAACAAGGGTGGGGGACAGGTTGCCTCATATTTCCTTTGGCCAATGGCAGATTTCAAGTAAGACATCTATTCATCTCTAGATTTAGGAGGAGGAGTCTGCAGGGCTGTAGCAACAAATGTCTACTTTTGGTCCCTAGGATGGAGAGTGATGAGGATAGTGATTCTCCTGACAGCATTGTGCCAGCTTCATCCCCTGAGAGCATCTTGGGGGAGGAGGCCCCTCGTTTCCCTCATCTGGGCTCAGGCCGGTGGGAGCAAGAGGACCGGGCCCTCTCCCCTGTCATCCCCCTCATTCCTCGGGCCAGCATCCCAGGTATGTGCTACTCTGGATGTGGGCCAGGCCCAGTTCACCTGGGTTGTCCGAAGCTGGGGGAGAGGCGGCCAGGGGTTACACAAATCCCTCTTTCTCATTCAGTCTTCCCAGATACCAAACCTTATGGGGCCCTTGACCTGGAGGTCCCTGGAAAGCTGCCTGCTACAACTTGGGAAAAGGGCAAAGGAAGTGAGGTGTCAGTCATGCTCACAGTCTCTGCTGCTGCAGCCAAGGTGTGTCCTAGGGGTACCTCGAGGCTGAGGGGAACCTGATCAGAGGGCAGTCCCTAGAATTTGTCTGGATAAGAAAAACTGTAGTTGTTTAAAAACATGTATTGAGTACCTATTGTATGTGAAAGCCTGGGCTAGAGTCTGTGGAATTTGGATTAATGAAGCATGATTCCTGCCCTCCCAGGGCTCATAGTCCCATGGTAAAGACAGACAGGTCAACAACTAAGGAGCGCCTCTGTGTGTAATGCCACAGGTACTACATGATAGCGTTGCCCCAGTCATGTTTGGTGGGACTCTGTCAGCTGTTTTGAAAATATTAACGGACTTTTGTGGTCAAAGAAAGTTGGAAAACACAGTTAAAATGACAGTATGGGTTTCTTTACTACAAGTAGAGTCCTCAGGTCCTTTTAATTTGCTGACGTGTATCATGAGCCTCCAAGTCATGGATAGAGCATGCATCACTTCCTAAACGTAGTTGACGTAGTCCCCTTTTCGTGGAGCTCCCGTCATTGCCCACAGCAGCTTGGGAAAGGCTGCTGTGAGGGAAGTGTGTGAAAAGAGCTGGGTGACACAGGATAGAACTCCTACCCTGGGGAGTGGGTTCTAGGTGTCCTTGTCCCCACCCAGCTGATAGTAGAACTCACCTCAGACACTTGGCTGACATGTTTCTCCCATCCCTTCCCCGGCCCTGGCAGAACCTGAATGGTGTGATGGTGGCAGTGGCAGAGCTGCTAAGCATGAAGATCCCCAACTCCTATGAGGTGCTGTTCCCAGAGGGCCCCGCCCGGGCAGGCACTGAGCCTAAGAAGGGGGAAGCTGAGGGTCCTGGTGAGTGTGGCAGGGAAGCCTTTTGGGACTTGAGGGGAGTGATTCTGTTGGGACGCTCTGATCCACTCCTTTCTGCAGGTGGAAAGGAAAAGGGTCTGGGAGGCAAGAGCCAAGACACTGGCCCTGATTGGCTGAAGCAGTTTGATGCAGTGTTGCCTGGCTATACCCTCAAGAGCCAACTAGACATCTTGAGCCTCCTGAAACAGGTAGGTCTAGGGGAGAAAAAGGGGTGGGTGTTAGGAAAAAGGGGCTGCTGGCTAGGCATGGTAGCTCATGTCTGTAATCCCAGTGCTTTGGGAGGCAAGGCAAGTGAATCACTTTAGGCCAGGAGTTTGAGACCAGCCTGGCCAACATGGCGAAACCCCATCTCTACTAAAAAAAAAAACAAAAAAGTAGCCAGGCATGATGGTGCATGCCTGTAATTCCAGCTACTCGAAAGGCTAAGGCATGAGAATCCCTTGAACCCAGGAGGCGGAGGTTGCAGTGAGCCAAGATTGTGCCTCTGGATCCAGCCTGGGCAACAGAGCAAGACTCTGTCTCAAAAAAAAAAAAGAAAAGAAAAGAAAAAAGGGGCTGCCTAGGGCAAAGAATGTGGAGGCCTTTTGGGAGGGTGGGATATGGGTGAGGGGAAGGAGGGAGCTAGTTAGATGAGGAGCTGGCACTAATGATACAGGGCACCCTCCTACAGGAGAGCCCCGCCCCAGAGCCACCCACCCAGCACAGCTATACCTACAATGTCTCCAATCTGGATGTGCGACAGCTCTCGGCCCCACCTCCTGAAGAACCCTCCCCGCCCCCTTCTCCCTTGGCACCTTCTCCTGCCAGTCCCCCTACTGAACCCTTGGTTGAACTTCCCGCCGAACCCTTGGCTGAGCCACCTGTCCCCTCACCTCTGCCACTGGCCTCATCCCCTGAATCAGCCCGACCCAAGCCCCGTGCCCGGCCCCCTGAAGAAGGTGAAGATTCGCGTCCTCCTCGCCTCAAGAAATGGAAAGGAGTGCGCTGGAAGCGGCTGCGGCTGCTGCTGACCATCCAGAAGGGCAGCGGGCGGCAGGAGGATGAGCGAGAAGTGGCAGAGTTTATGGAGCAGCTTGGCACAGCCTTGCGACCTGAGAAGGTACCTCGAGACATGCGTCGCTGCTGTTTCTGTCATGAGGAGGGTGATGGGGCCACTGATGGGCCGGCCCGCCTGCTGAACCTGGACCTGGACCTGTGGGTGCACCTCAACTGTGCCCTTTGGTCCACGGAGGTGTATGAGACCCAGGGCGGGGCACTAATGAATGTGGAGGTTGCCCTGCACCGAGGACTGCTAACCAAGTGCTCCCTGTGCCAGCGAACTGGTGCCACCAGCAGCTGCAATCGCATGCGTTGCCCCAATGTCTACCATTTTGCTTGTGCCATCCGTGCCAAGTGCATGTTCTTCAAGGACAAGACCATGCTGTGTCCAATGCATAAGATCAAGGGGCCCTGTGAGCAAGAGCTGAGCTCTTTTGCTGTCTTCCGGCGGGTCTACATTGAGCGGGACGAGGTGAAGCAAATCGCCAGCATCATTCAGCGGGGAGAACGGCTGCACATGTTCCGTGTGGGGGGCCTTGTGTTCCACGCCATCGGACAGCTGCTGCCTCACCAGATGGCTGACTTTCATAGTGCCACTGCCCTCTATCCCGTGGGCTACGAGGCCACACGCATCTATTGGAGCCTCCGCACCAACAATCGTCGCTGTTGCTATCGCTGTTCTATTGGTGAGAACAACGGGCGGCCGGAGTTTGTAATCAAAGTCATCGAGCAGGGCCTGGAGGACCTGGTCTTCACTGACGCTTCTCCCCAGGGTGAGCGGTGGGCCCTTGAAATGGATAATATGGTATGGGGAAAGTTTCTCCCACGGTCACTGTTACAGTGTCTGTAAGAGGACCTGTAGCCTCTATGTGAGTGATCCTCCTTCCCCCACCTCAGGCAGGCAGGGGGTCTCTTGAAAATTCCCAGTGAAAGTGTTTGAGCCTCTCTGTCACCCTAAATTGCCTTGTAGTTGAAAATATTTTGCTTGTCTAATCTCACATATTCTAGTTCCTTTTGCTATCCTCAGTGGAACGAAAGGAAACAGTTCTGAGACTATTGTCTGCTTCACCTAACCTAATCCTAACCAAGTTCCTTGTGGTGGTTTTTCCCTGGATGAAATCAGAATTACTTTGATTTGGGCCGGGCGCGGTGGCTCAAGCCTGTAATCCCAGCACTTTGGGAGGCCGAGACGGGCGGATCACGAGGTCAGGAGATCGAGACCATCCTGGCTAACCTGGTGAAACCCCGTCTCTACAAAAAATACAAAAAACTAGCTGGGCGAGGTGGCGGGCGCCTGTAGTCCCAGCTACTCGGGAGGCTGAGGCAGAAGAATGGCGTAAACCCGGGAGGCGGAGCTTGCAGTGAGCCGAGATCCGGCCACTGCACTCCAGCCCGGGCGACAGAGCAAGACTCCGTCTCAAAAAAAAAAAAAAAAAAAAAAAGAATTACTTTGATTTTAGTTTTAGTGTTAATGATAAAATAACAGTAAGAGCAGGTACCTTTTTTTGAGTGTGTACTGTGAGCCACAAACTAAGCTAAGTGATTTGTGTAGTTTATTTTGTTCATACAACCCTATGAGGTAAGTATTGTACTACAATTATGCCCAGTTTACACATAAAGAAACTGAGTCTTAGATTTAAGTACAGTTATGCATTGCTAAATGACAGGGATACATTCTGAGAAATGCATTGTTAGGTGATTTTGTCATTGTGTGAACTTCATAGAGTGTACTTACACAAACCTAAATGGTGCAGCATACTATACACCTAGGCTCTGTGGTATACCCCATTGCTCCTAGGCTACAAATCTGTACAGCATGTAACTGTAGTGAATACTGTAGGCAGTTGTAACATATGGTAAGTATGTGCATCTAAACATAGAAAAGATACAGTAAAAATACAGTATTATAATCTTACTAGACCACTGTTGTATATATGATTCCTCATTGAATGAAATGTTGTTAAGCTGCACATGACTGTTTTGGCTCAGGGTCCCATGGCCAGTACTAGAACCTGAACGCAAGTCTTTCCAACTCCAAAGCATGCCTGTTCTTTCACTAGGGACCTTCCATGGCCTATGCTGGGTCTACTGGGCCCTGGGTTTCTGTCTCAAGGCTCTGTGATGACCCCCTGGGGTTGGAAGCCTCCTGCTTCTTAACAGACAGTGAGACTAGGAGGCCAAGAGAGGATCCGGAAGACCAACACACCTTCATGATAGGGAGGCTTGAAGGCCACAGAAAACAACTGCGGTTCTGGATTGGGGTTAGGGACTGGAGGTCAGTTAGCAGAAGTTGCCTCTAAGGGCTGCTCTCTTCCCTGCTTCTTAGCCGTGTGGAATCGCATCATTGAGCCTGTGGCTGCCATGAGAAAAGAGGCTGACATGCTGCGACTCTTCCCTGAGTATCTGAAGGGCGAGGAGCTCTTTGGGCTGACGGTGCACGCTGTGCTTCGCATAGCTGAATCAGTAAGGAAGGGGCTGGGAGCTGGGGGGCTTGGCGGGCACTGAGAACTTTGGCCACCCCAAAAAAACTCAGGCTAAGGTGAGTATGAACTGTGCCCACAGCTGCCCGGGGTGGAGAACTGTCAAAACTATTTATTCCGCTATGGGCGCCACCCCCTTATGGAGCTGCCACTCATGATCAACCCCACTGGCTGTGCCCGATCAGAGCCTAAAATCCTCACACACTACAAACGGTGAGCTTGTGATGCTGGAGCCAAGGGAGGGTGTGGGTGTTGATAGGGATCCTCTGGTCCCATCATGAGGATTTAGGATACAGATCAGAGTTCTCGTGGAGAAACTGGGGAATCACTCTTAGACCTCCTAATTAGAGGGCACACAGATATTGGTAGGTTATCCTTTTCCTCTTCTCCCAACCTGCTCAGATGCACTTGGGATATAGGACAGAATTATCTCGGGCACCCTGGGGAGGTAATGGGTAAACTGAAATATATAAGGGACCTGGTCACCTTTTTCCTCTCCTGTTTTACTTCCAGCGGGAGGGCCTGTGATTCTCCCAAACCTCAGATACCCCATGAGTGCTAGGGTCACCTTCCCTTCCCCGTGAGTGTTTGTGTCAAAAACAAATAGTTAGAGATATAATAGAAAAATAATAAAACCTTACATTTGTATAGCACTTTATACTTTTTTTTTCAAAGCGTTTTCACATCCATTATCTCATTTGATCCTCACAACAACCTTATGAGGTAGGTAGGGCAGGTGGTATGACCCCCATTTTACAGCTGAGAAAACTGAGACCCAGAAAGATTAAATGACTAGGCAAAGGTCACACAGCTGGGACCAGATCCTTACCTCTGTGGGTCCTTGTTCTTTCTGTGTACCAGGGACCTTAGTCCCTGGGTAGAGGGAGGCAGAATCTGTGGTAGCAGGGCTTTCTTGAAGGTCTTTGGTGGCTCCTAGGCTGTCGTAGAGTGTCAGAGACTCTCTATCCCTAGCCAACCTTGTCCTTGATGCCCTGCAATGGTGGTTTTCAAACTGTGAGTGCATGTGTTCCAAAAAGTCCTCAATCACATAAACTGATGGGTTGAACTTGGCCTTCCCATGCATATCTCTTCCTTCCCCAAATTGGATTAAACCAGAAGAGCTCCATTGTCATCTAGTTTATGTATTGGAGTTCCAGTCAACATTTTGTTAAAGAAAAAAGCAAAGATTTCTGCTAAATAAAAAAGAACCAGAAACATTTGAAAACCACTGCTTTGGGATGGCAAGAATTTGGCTGGTACCCTAGGGTGGTAAAAGGTATCCTGCCAGGCAGTCGTCATTCCCCTGCACTGAGCCATCTGCACAGAGCCCAATGTTATGTCAGAGAAGGGGACAATCTGAAGAAAGGATACCACCTTTAGGCTGTGAGTTCACAGCCAGTTTTAATTCAAATCTAGCCCAGCGTGGTAGGCACAGTCCCCATTTTCAGGGCTTCCGGTATGTGCAGGAGGTAGGATTCAGACATTCAAGCAAACCATCAGCTTAAATTCTAGGCCTAGGCTACTTGCGGAAAACTTCCCAGAGGAGCATGGCCTTGAGAATGGTTTGGCAGGAGAGTGGTAGGAAGTGGGAGATGGGAGAGCAGGCTCAGTGTAGGGGAATTGGTGCCCCCCATCTCCCTCCACACTTCACCCCTCACCCTGGGCTCTCTGTACCACCCAGGGTGTCAGAAGGGTCCCTATAGCTAGTTGCTTCCTCACCAGAGCTGAGACCCAGTTGCCTCTACTCCTTTCCCAAGGCTGCACTTCCAGTGCTTGCCAGCAGCACACGCCCCTAACTGATGTGTTGCACATCCCAGGAGGTGGTGGAGGAGGTGGGTGGTGTGTACTTGGTCTGAGGGCGAGCTGTCTTGTCATGGATTGTATCACCTCCCAGGCCCCATACCCTGAACAGCACCAGCATGTCTAAGGCATATCAGAGCACCTTCACAGGCGAGACCAACACCCCGTACAGCAAGCAGTTTGTGCACTCCAAGTCATCTCAGTACCGGCGGCTGCGCACCGAATGGAAGAACAACGTGTACCTGGCTCGCTCCCGCATCCAGGGCCTGGGGCTCTATGCAGCTAAGGACCTAGAAAAGCACACAATGGTTATCGAGTACATTGGCACCATCATTCGGAACGAGGTGGCCAACCGGCGGGAGAAAATCTACGAAGAGCAGGTATAAGCTGACAGAGGGGCCATTGTGGCGCATAGTCCTCACTCAACCAAGGAGCAAGGGTCAGGATTGGTCACAGGAGGGCAGGAGGAAAGCTGTGGTGGGGAAGGGAAAGGCAGGAGAAATGAAGAACATGCAACAGAAGCCCACTGCCTGAGTCTCCTACCTGATCCCACTCTCTGATACTCTTGTCCCTTCTTCTGCAACCTCTGCCTTTCTAGAATCGAGGCATCTACATGTTCCGAATAAACAATGAACATGTGATTGATGCTACGTTGACCGGCGGCCCTGCCAGGTGAGAGACGACGAGGAAGGAGGGAATTAATGGTCCCTGAGTAGCACTCTGGGGGATAGACAACAAGGAATCAAAATTTTCCCAAGTTAGTTGCCTGACATCCCTGACTCTGTCCTTCTACCCAGGTACATTAACCATTCCTGTGCCCCTAACTGTGTGGCCGAAGTCGTGACATTTGACAAAGAGGACAAAATCATCATCATCTCCAGCCGGCGAATCCCCAAAGGAGAGGAGGTGAGAGGAAGTATCCTGAGTGAGTGACAAAGCAGCTACTACTCCTTTCACCCCTTCTCTGCCATTCCCTAAATGTGGGTTCCTAGGCTGGGCACCTCAGATCATATCTTCTCTGCCCTCCCTTTTTCCTGTGGGGGCTAGCATTGATTCTGCCCTCTTCTCTTTTCAGCTAACCTATGACTATCAGTTTGATTTTGAGGACGATCAGCACAAGATCCCCTGCCACTGTGGAGCCTGGAATTGTCGGAAATGGATGAACTAAGAAGCTTTGAGGCTACCAGGCAGGGGAGTCCCCCTACCCACAACCTCTTCCCTGAAAGGGTTGAGGGGGAAGAGAGGTAGCAGCCAGAGCCAGGACCCAGGGCTGGGGCTGCCGGCTGACCGGAGCCCCTGGAGCAGGAGGCTGGGGCAGAGGGCCCTAGGCCAAGCCCACCCTGGGCACCAGGGACAACCCTCTTCCCCACCACCGGCCCTCAGGCTGGCATCTCTGCCCCCAGCTCCAGGAGGGGCCAGACAGAAGCAGCCATTGGGCATCTCAGGTTTGAGGGGGATATGGGCCGGGAACTACCCAGAAGCATCTGGGAGGCAGCAGGGTGGGGGAAGAGGATGTGTGGCCGGGCCTCACAGCCCTGCTGCTCCCACTGACCTCTCCGGCCCAACTCAAGGCTGCAAAGAGACTTGACTAAGCTTGACAATCCCAAAGGCCGGGTCCCACACCTGGCCCTGCCTGCCGGGTCCTGCCCCCACCCTCACCCCCATCCCCCCTCCCTCTTGATCTGTCTGTTTCCCTCTTTTCCTCTGTGTTTCTGTCTCTCTATGGGTTGTGTTTCCTTGTTTTCCACTCTGACAAATGCAACATGAACGGGAAAGAGGCGCCCAGCTGCCTAGGAGGGCAAGCTGGGCAAGCCGGGCAAGGAGACCCCGCACCCACACCTACCTCATTTAAGTGTTGGATTTTTTGCTGTTTTGAAATGTGAGACCCTCTCCAAGCCCCCTGCTGCCCCAACCCTCTCCCCCACCTCACTGCCCTCTTCTGAGTGGGTGGAAGAGGGGGTAGGAGGAGGAAGAAAAACAACAACAAAAAATCCATCTTTGTTTTTAATTATGGGCATGGGATGGTGGTTGAGGCAAATGATGATGAAGATTGGGGATGACTGGCCCCTAGTTGCTCTAGGACTTCCTTCTCCATCTGGACATGGGGGCAGGAGGGGGCTAAACCTAGGACCAGGATATCTCTCTCCTGTTTTCCCAACCCCATCATGAGCCCGTTTGCCCTCCAGCCCCTGGACGGGTTGGGTGGGGGGTAGGGTGAGGGCTATCCCTGAGTGGCATGCCCATACCTAATGAGGCAGGGTGTGGCCCGGAGCTCCCACTTTCCCTCAGTCACCAAACTGCTGCTGGTCTGGTGGGAAGGGGTGGTGATGTGGGGGTGGGGAGCTTAGTGTCAGCGAGGGGAGGGTGGGGGGTATTTATCTATTTATACATGGGATTGTACATAGTCTTGTGGGGCATGGGGGAGCCGGCTGGAGGTGAGAACCCTCCCCTCTCCCCCCACCCCCGGGGAGAGCAAATGTAAAACTACTAATTTTTGTGCTTTATATATTCTATATAAATATATCTATTTTCTTTTTACAAAACCAGTTTATAAATGGTAGGGGGGTGTGGGGCGGACACATGGAGCTCCCCTTGTGGGGGGGCCCCCTCCATTACCCAACCTACCGCCCTTTTCCTCACCCCCCACCCCACTCCCCACCCCCTGGCTGTGACTGCTGTAAGATGGGGGTATAGAGGCTGGGCAATTCCCACCCCCTGTTGTATAGTTGGACTATGTTATAACGCACAAAAGAGAGCTGACCCCAGGGGGAGCCAGAGGGTGATGGGTTCCTTGCCTCCCTTTCCTTCCCCTTTCTGCCCAAGCTTGTGCTGCAGTTTAACCTCTTCCTGGGGGTGGGGGTAGGTAAGGGGTGGGTGACACCCCAAACCCCTCTCTGGTAGGGAACCGTGGGGATGAAGATGAAGCTTATATGCAGTTCTCTTCTAGGGGCTGTGGGCAAAGGGCATTTTGTAATTAATATTTTCAAGAATCAGATGTCTGGAGTGTAGGGGTGGGCTTGGTGGTGGTGGACGGGCGGGCCTGCTGGAGGGGGAGCTTGGTGGCTGTTGTGATTTTAGGTTTGTTTTTGTTTTGTTTTGAATTTGGGGAGTTGTGGATTGTTGGGGGTAGGGAGATTTTTTTTTTTTTTTTTAAAGCTGCTTCCTCAACTGTTTCAAGCTGCAAATGTTTAAGAGAATAACACCCCCCACTCCCACAGGAACCGCTGTAATTAAATCAGACAGCAGGAAGACTGGGCTGCAGCCCTCAAAGCCACAGCCCTTGATGTTCCTTTTCGGAGAGCAATAGGTCTAGGCTACAGGGAGGGGGAGATTGGCTCCCGTGAGTCAGGCTGTGTTTGGGGCTTGGGCCCTGGGATTGGGAAAAGGGGATGGGGCAGACTTTGTAAGCATATGCTAGGTATCCGATAGTCCTGTAGAATTTAGTGAAGAAACCTTATACAGTTTTTAATTTTTATATAAACTATAACTCAGACCCAAGCTACAAGGTTGGAATTTTGGTTGGTTTTTTTTTAAGTACCCTGCCTGTATAATTGCATCAGAATCCCCCACCCCCCCGTGTTTGTATTTTGGGTTGGTTTACACTCGCACATACTCAATTTTCAGTTTTCCCCTTTACAGTCTTCTCCCCTCACCTCCAGGACCCTCCCCCTTTTTAAAAAATAAATCGCTGACAAGTGTGAATCCCGTGAAGACTTTATTTTGTGTTGTGTGTATCCTGTACAGCAAGGTTGGTCCTTCGTAACAACGGATGAAATGGTTCCCTTTTTTAAAGCGCCCTCTCTTCCTCCACCCTCAGCGCCCCTGTCCTTGGCATGTTTTGTATCAGCGATCATTCTGAACTGTACATAATTTATGTTGCGAGAGGCAAAGGGCAAGTTTTGGATTTTGCTTCTTCCAAGTTTGTTTTTAAACGACAAATAAAAAAAGAACATTTTAAATACAAGCGGCTCCGTCCCGTGACCCTCGCCGTCAGCCGGATCCGTGCGGTCCGAGAGGACCCGGGGGAGGGCGGTTACCGAGGCCTGCCACCGCCGGAAGGGTGGGTTCCACGCCTTCCGCCGTAGTCTGGCGACTGCCATGACGTGGGCGGAAGTGGCGTCGCCGCACCGGATGTGGGGCGTGGCCTTCCCCAAGAGAGTTTCCTAAAGCGAGAAAACCAAGCCGGCGCCTCTTGCAATGGAGACGGTGAGGAGCGCAGGAGGGCGGTCGGGGGCGCTGTAGAGCCTAAGACCCCACTTAGGAGACCGGGAGGGCCGGGCAGGGGCTGGCGCTGGTGTCTAGCAAACAAAAAGCAGCCGGGTGTCTGCCCTATCCCGTGACCGTGTCCCTCCGCTTCTTCGTTGCGCGCATCTCCTAGGACTGGGCCGCGCCCCCGCCGCCTTTCCGCACGCGGTACCCTTAGCCCAAGCAGGCAGTGACTCGTGGCCCTCCTTGGAGCCCACGTAAGCCGTGGCAATCTTGGGCTTCCTTTCCTCTTAGCACCTCAAGCCCTTTTAGAGGTTTGAGAGCAGAGGGTTGTGATCCGGCTTTGCTGGGTGAGGCAGGGGGCGTCCAGAGGGATCTCCGCTTGCAGGTAGCTGCTGGACCTCGGTAGTCTTTCTGTGATCCCTGCAATCCCTGGCAGGAGGACATCTGAAGATCTTTATACTGCATCCAGTGAAGTCACATTCCCTTAATAAGACCGAGAATTGAGATTTGCTTGAAAGAGGAAAACTTGCAGTGTTAGAGGCCGATGTGTCCCTGGACAAGTTTAGGTCATGGCCCGCTCTGCGACTCTAAGCAGGAGTTTTGGCACAGCTCATTCTTGGCGAGCAGGCATTGACCAATTGTGGCAGGGCCCTGTCACCCTCCCACAGATGCCGCGGGTTGCCTGCTGCATGTTTGCACCCACCCTCACTCTCAGGAGTCTTTTTCTAGCGCTCTGTAACCCCTCCCATACACTTCCCTCTCCACAGTTTTTAACCATGTGTCTTCTTTCAGGCAGAGTTACTCTTCCCATCTTGGTTTTTATCATTTGCTACTGTAGTTATGAAAGGACTGCAGGTTCACTTTGCTTTGGATTACATGCCCATAGTAATTCTTTGCCACACCCTTTCTCTGCCCACAGAGAGGTTGTTTCTTTCAGGTTTTTGAAAAGAAAACCGACCAAAGTACTAAAACGATTCGCAGTTGGTCTCCCAGGCAAGGGAGCCAGTTCTGACTAATCAAGATAATCTTGAACAAAAATAAGGAGTCTAATTCCATTAAATTTAAAATAACATGTCATATTCTACTTACTTGTGAGTGTAGTATGGTTTACAGAGCATTTTTATGTAGATTTTCTAATTTAGCCTTCACACTTTATGTACTGGATTAGGCTCTGGGGTAGAAGTTAAAAAGAGGAAAAAGAAAACAGCCAGGTGTGGTGGCTCATGCCTGTAATGCCAGTACTTTGGGAGGCTAAGGCAAGTGGATTGCTTGAGCTCAGGAGTTCCGCACCAGTCTGGGCAACGTGATGAAACCCTGTCTTGACAAAAACAAAAACACAAAAATTACCCAGGCATGATGGTGGTGGTGCATACCTGTAGTCCCAGCTACTCTGGAGGCTCAGGTGGGAGGATTGCTTGATCCAGGGAGGTGGAGGCTGGAGTTAGCTGAGATCATGCCACTGCACTCCACTCTGAGTGACACAACGAGATCCTGTCTCCAGAAAAAAGAAAAGAAAGAAAACTCCTGCTTTGAAAATGTTCAGCCTAACTGGAGTAAGGGTGAGGGCAAGCCAGCAACAGCTGTTATTTAAAGGTAGACTATAATAAATGCTATCATTAATATGAAAACAAAGGACTGTGACAGAATAGTTGAGAGAAAAATTACTTTGGACCTAGGAGAGGGCACTGCAAATTGAGAGAACAGTATGAGCAAGGGCACTGAAACTGGGGGATGTGGAGAATTGGGGGTGAGCCAGCGGCTTGATGTTGCTGGCTTTGGATTTTGGTCACAGTGAGAGAAAAGACTGGAAAAGTAGGCTAAGATCAGGTTGAAGGTATTACACACCATGCTAAATTTGAACTTTGTTTTGTAATAGGGGACCCATGGAAGATTTATGAGCAAGTCAGTGAATGTCTTTTAGGAATGTTCATAGCAGCTTTCTGTACATGGACTGAGCTACTTCGGAAAGTAAAGTTTCTTGTTAATGGAGATGAAAGCCCCTTCCAAACCTAAGATGCTTTGGTGAAAGCACGAAAGACAAATTGAAAAGCAGATAGATGTGGGCCAAGGACCCCAATTTAAACAGTCTTGCAGAAGTGAGAGGTAAAAGCCTAAATTAAGGCTGTAAAATTGGCAATGAGAGAGATAGATCTGAGGCATTTCTAACATACCAGCTTAGCTGATAACTGGTAAGAAGACAGCTGTATAAAACAAAAAAAACAAGATGGGAACTACAGCAAGAATAATAGGATTGTAGGGACAAATGTTTTGTTTCGTATTGAAGCATTTGAGGAGTCTCTGTGACATCTATGGTTGTCAAACAAATAATTGGAAACGTAGATCAGAAGTTTGGAAGAAATTGCGAGTCTGTTTGTCAGATGTACACTGTGTCTCTGTAATATCTTGTACTTACGTGGTACAGTTGTACTTTCTCAGGTCCCCTATGTTGTTAAAAGTAGAAAGGAGGCCAGGCACAGTGGCTTATGCCTGTAATCCCAGAACTTTGGGAGGCCAAGGTGGGCGGATCGCTTGAGCCCAGGAGCTCAAGACCAGCCTGGTCAACATAGTGAGACCCCATCTCTACAAAAAAACACAAAAAGTAGCTGGGCTTAGTGGTGTGTGCCTGTAGTCCCAGCAGCCCAGGGGGCAGAAGTCAAAGGATTGCTTGAGCTGGGGAAGTTGAAGATACAGTGATCTGTGATCCTGCCACTGCACTCCAGCCTGGATGACAGAGTGAGACCCTGTCTCAAAAAAAAAAAAAAAAAAAAAGTAGAAAGAAGTAGATGTAACTACATAATTCCCCCTCTGATATGGTGAAACAGGCAGAAAGTTAAAAGTCATTATCGGGCTCCGTGGCTCATGCCTGTAATCCCAGCACTTTGGGAGGCCGAGGCGGGCAGATCACAAGGTCAGGAGTTTAAGACCAGCCTGAGCAGATATCTGAGCGGATATCGCGCCACTGCACTCCAGCCTGGGCAACAGAGCGAGACTCCATCTCAAAAAAAAAAAAAAAAAGGACCAGCCTGGCCAACATAGTGAAACCCCATCTCTACTAAAAATAAAAATAAATTAGCTGGGCATGGTGGCAGGCGCCTGTAGTCCCAGCTACTTGGGAGGCTGAGGCAGGAGAATCGCTTGAACCCGGGCAGCGGAGATTACAGTGAGCCAAGATCACGCCACTGCACTCCAGCCTGGGTGACACAGCGAGACTCTGTCTCAAAAAAAAAAAAAAAAGTCACATATTCAGTTGTATTTGACTCTGTTATGTTGGTATCTGTATCTCTAGTTAGCTCTATGTTTCTTTCCTCCCTCTGTAACTTAGTCTTAGGCATATCTGTTCATATCAGTGTGCATCATTCTTTGAGAATTAAAAAACAAAACAACTGTGAATTATATGCAAAATCCTGTGCTTGGTGGTATGGGGGATACAAAGTATAAGATAGTTCTAGGTTTCCAGGAATTTATAATCTGTTTGGATAGATAACGGACAAAATAAGTATCGCACAGTACAATATATATCATATGATGGGTAAATTCTACAGAAGTAGCTGTTTTTGTGCCTTTGTGTAGATCTTTGTGAGACTCTGATATTATCATGTGTCTATCTTTATCACAGCCCTCTCTCCTACTTACAAGTGATGAGGCTGTTGTTCTGATAGTCCTGCCAAAATGGCAGGCCAAGCTGACGGTCTTATGCAGTCCAGAGGGAAGAGAAGGAGATTATCCCCCTTACTCCCTGCACTCTCCCCTAGCCCATTAAGGGAGAAAAGTTTAGGGCTGTCGTAAACTTCCTTGGTTTAGGAAGTTTGTCAGCCAACCTCCCAGGTTGAAGTTTTTAATGTCATGTTACTACAGAAGCTATGGGGATGAAGTATGGTTTTAAGTTATTTTGGAGATATCACCCAGAGAAAGTGGAGCCAAGACTGTTGATGCTAGCAGATGAAAATTGTTGTGATCCCTTCTGGGTTCCTAAATAACAATGGCATTTCCAAATGTTCCCACTTGAGGGAGCACAGAAATGGTTCTAAGTTTTGTCTAGTCAAAGCACTCTAATCTCAGACTGTCTTGGGAAGGGAAACTTGGAAAACCAGCATCCCCTGGCTATAGCAGCCTTTGTTTGACTGACAAGGGTGCTGAGTGAACTCAAGTCCCCAGTTTCAGAACATTCATGTTCCTTATCCACCTCTCAGTCATTCAGGCTTTGACTGGCTAACAGTCAGCTACAGGGATCCTCCCCAGTTGTGGCCCTCTCTCTACCATGGAGGTAGACAATGGTAGAACCAATGTCTGTGGTTGTAGTGCCTACAAATATGCCTAGTGAGTGTCTGTGTTTGGGGGAAGACAATGCTATCTCTCTGGCTTCCATGTTTTAATAAGTGGATCTGTGAGAATCTTGTAGGGGTTAGCCCTAAGCTCAGATCTTTAGTCTTAGCTTTTAAGACCTAATGTTTCATTAGGCGGTATAGTGTACAAGAACATGAGCTTTGCAGATAATGCTCATTCCACTCAGAAGTGGATAGAAGTATTTCTGGAAGGCACAATATTGTAGCAGTATTGGTTTCTTCTCTTCTGTGATTCCAGAGAGGTAGAATTTCATCAGAATGGAATAAATACATTCAAAAATTTTATAAAAATGGCTGGTTGTGGTGGCTGATGCCTGTAATCCCAGCACTTTGTGAGGCCGAAGCGGGCAGATCAGTTGAGGTCAGGAGTTTGAGACCAGCCTGGCCAACATGGTAAAAACCCCGTCTCTGT